TTCAATTTCTCATTAGCTTTTAATAGTTTACAAATAAATAAATGATTATTTTCTCACAGAGATTACCAGCAATATAATTTAAATATTCCCTAATCATAAAAGATTTTTCCATACACTATCATGGATTCGTCAACAACTCACTGAATGATACATCTGCATGAAGACGCAGGTGAGGTGACTTTTAATTTCAACTGTTGCTTAATTTTTGACAGTACAAACTAATTGAGAACTCCAACTAATATGTAATGTACTGTAGTCTAGTATTACAAACAACATCATGCGGACGGACTGGCATTAACAAAGATCTCAGTGCAATAAAGTTCAATATACAATTTTGACCGCGAGTCATTCCAATATTAATAATGTGATTATTCTTATAATATTCCAGGCATCATGCCACACCTCCGGTCATTTGTCATGTACCAGAATAAAACTTGTTATATCAGGCATAAATCAGTTGTTGCACGGCTATTAAGCCTATCACTTCCACACAGCAACACAAAATGTGGCAGGTATTTTCTATGGTTAGAATACATAAACAACCTCATAATTAACAATATGAACTTCTCCTGTACCTGTAAACAATGATTCAGATTGTAAATATCTTAGTGGCATTAAGAAGTTGACTGACACAGCTAGAAAGACTATGTAGCATTAGTTGAAAAAGACTAAGAACTAAGAATAAATGAGTAAATTCAACAATGTGTAACGCCCATTCTCAATAAAATAAAGCATTTGAGGTTGACAAATATTAAAAATTTGATGTTGTCATTGTGCCATTTTTTATCGCTGAAGTAAATGTTTAGGGTATTTTGCAAGTTTGCCAGAAATATTTTGAACAAGAAACTATGATATAACAGGATGGCATTTATTTCGGTAATGACACTGTATTTCTTCGGTAACGTAGATTTCAGATCTAATGATGTAACATAATGGCTGCATATTAATAACAAATGTCTGTAAAATATATCAAAATCTGTAAATTCTCTATCTAGAGGGACTTTCTAACCCAGGAAAATTCAAAGAAGTTTGGTACCTTGCTAATTTTCAGTTAATTTCTTCAAAGTTAAATATTCGTAGAAAGCAAAAATAGTCAATTTTGAAAATGATTATTTTATGTCTTCATTCAAAGGATTTATATCATATATAATATATGAGAGGTCGAATGCATACACAATTTTTGTATTAGCAATTTTTTTCCTCAAAATATTCAACTTTCCACTTTCTTAATATTTGGAAAATTTAGTACTAAACAGTTCGATATTTATCCCCATATAGGATGTCACGTATGTTTCATTTTATTCAAATGCAAGTAAAGGTTGAGAAAACAATTTTATTTTTTGTAAAATAATTTATTTTTATGGATATTATTTTAACATTATTATATATAGAATGAAATACGGCCAGTAAGCTCTTTGCAGAAACGAATTAGTTGTTGCTGAGAACATCAATATCTTGTAATATATTTTTAACATTTCTGCTGGTACATCAACATATTATTAACATATCTTTCCTTTGTAAAAACAATTTTGTGTCTTCTTACATCTAATACAAGGTAACCGTTACTAACAGGCATGCTTATCCCAACTTTATCTTTAATTTTCAAAAATAGTTGAATTGTAAGTTGGAGTAACGTATGTTTCACACTCGCTTATTTATGAACTTTATCACGGAATTTAAACTTACATGTAAACTCGACTTTTTTTAGTTAGGAATCAAATGCACATCATTCTATTGTCATAAAAATGCGACTTTATGTTTTTATATATGCATGTGTAAACAATATAAAGTCTGTTTGATAAAAGTAACGTTTGTTTCACTGTGGTTACTTAAACAAGTAAAAACACGACCAAAGTTAACAAAATTTACTTACTAATGTCAAATAGAAGTTAATGTTGATGTTATACGTGCTTTCTGACTTCAATTACTCTTTTGATAAACTTACTTTAAAAAGTTGATAACGTATGTTTCTATAACGTATGTTTCATTTTTACATTGAAAGTGGGTTAAAAATGACGCAAGACCGTTTAAGCCGCCATAATTTGTGGTTAATATATCAGAATTACACACATGTTAATATTCTTTCTTGTTTGGATTCTTCTTTGAATGGATTGGCTCTTAAATAATGGTAACGTATGTTTCTTTTTAAAGTGCTGTTGAAAAGATTTGAATAAAAAATGAAAATTTCCGAAAGTAGAATAATATTTGAGAGGCTGCAAGCTTATTTTTACTTATAATTATATATATGCTGTATTATTAAGCATGCATCGATTCAATTATGTAATTTGGGTTTCACTTCTTATTGTTTTAGGTTTGTCACTATTTATTTATATGCATTTGGCGACATTTGATCATTCATTATACCAATGAGATTTTAACAGTCAAATATAATTTTTACAAATAATCAAAGTGCATATACACACAGCAATGACATATTGCACATGTTTCGTTTATTCTGGAACTTATTTTTCTGAAACACAATTTCAAAGTTGAAAATTCTAGGTGGCGACAGTAACGTATGTTACATTTTAAGGCATTAATGGTACTTGTTAAAGAAAAATAACAGATAGAAATGTAAAACTGAGAGTGTCCCTATTAGACAAAGTGGCAGCCACCTTTCTTACGACATTTTGACCTCAAGAAAAACCTTCGTATAAGAGCTACCCAGTGGAACATCAAATGCTGTGTTTTATTGAGAATGAGCGGTTAATGCCCACTCAACCATAATAGTTGTTTACCCAAGGCTGTGGTACTAATACAGGCAAAATTAAGAAAATATATTTGTATAAATGAACGGTCTGTCAGAATACCGTTTTTAACACAGCATGTTATAAAAGAATGGGAACCAGTTTACAACCGTAACAAGTGTTATTGTCCTTCCTCCATTAGATATGCATGGGTGAAAGTTGAAAATATCAGAAAACCTGAAAACTCTGAATTTACCATTATTATTATTGGTTTTATATAGTAAAAGAGTGCTTTCAGGGTTATAAAAAACCTGAACTTCAGGCACATGCCTGAAAACTTGCACCCATGGATATGTGTTTAATACGTGTTCTATTTGCAGACCATACAAAGAACTATACCAGTCTGATGATTAATTTATAGCTTACAATGTATAAATATCCGTTAACAATTATTAACTTCAGCATGTTTGACATACTGGAACAAAGGTATTTAAGAAGGTAAAGAAACACATTTTATTTGTCAGAACGTGTGTGACAAGATAATAAAAATCAATATAAAACTACACACCAATGTGATACATACATATACCCCCTTCACCATTTAGTACAATGATACAAGTTTTTTTTTATTTGTTACTGGATGCATTTCTTTTGCGTCAGAACTTTGTATATCTCAGAAAAAATCTTTTGTATGTTAATTTTTAACTTGAAAAAAATTACATCTCCCTTCTTTCAGTGTCAAATCTGCCAACTTGGTAACATTGACAGTTCACATGTAATATAAAGTGTGTCTAAGAATACCATTTGTAAATCAACTCATAGCCCCTCTGGTAAGACTAACAAGAGCCATATTACACACGCTTAATTTCCGACGGGAAGAAGTTACCTAAAGGTTATAGGAGCACTTTCGTACATTTTATTTGGTGAGAGGAAATCGTTAAAAGCTTTGTAGTTATGATGATGCTAAGTACAGTTTCAAGTAAGTGGAAAAGAAGCAATCAACGAAGACAAGGTAAGCATAACAAATAACGCCAATGCAATATATTTTTTTGTTTATATCAGCGTATTTAGTTTGAAGAAAATCACTGAAGAAAGTTTGGAGTTATGCTCCGAACAAACTTTTTCAAGTAAATCTGATAAAAGGAAATAACACTAAAATAAGCACGGTTGGGTTATTGTATTTGCACACTGCACTTTCTTTCAATATTCTCAGTGTTTGAATTTTGAAGTATATCCCTCACACATTTTTGGAGTTGTACTCAGGACAAAATTTGGACAGTTTGAATTTTGAAGATTATCCCTCAAATATTTTTGGAATTGTACTCAGGACAAAATTGGGACAGATCTATGCACAGAAATCATTTCTAATATCCCTTCTAAGGTTTAAGGTAGTACTATTTCAATATTATCCTGTAACAGAGAAACAATGTATCTTGCAAGATATTCTATGAACATTCTTACTAGTTATCTTGGTAAGTCAGCCAAACAACTTAATGAAAAAATACCAGAGATACTGATCAGAAACAATTTTTAAAATCATGTATTGTCCGCCCTTAAATCGATCAGCCAGCATTGTGATTGAGGCAGGTTATCAGTATGAATTTTGACATATTGACCAAAAAAACAATAGGGATATACTGGTCATGACTAGTAACAAGTCAGTTGTGCACTGACATCTTCCTGCCCCAAAAATCCATTGAGGTCATCTTCTGACCAAATGCATTTGTGAAGTTCGAAGGTCAAGGGTCTATGAATTGTCGAGTTATTGATAGGAAACTGTTTTGACATACTTAACCTTTGACCCCCTGAACCAAAAATCAATAGGAGTCATATACTGGCCAACCCAAAGCACCTATGTATTTTGAGAGCCAAGGGCCTATAGGTTGTCAAGTTGATCAGAAACCCCTTTTACCTACAAGGTCAATATGACCTTGACCTTTGACCCCTTAACCCCAAAATTAATAGGGGTCATCTACAGGCCATGACCAATTTACCAAAGTCTCATGAGTTTTTGAGTTATTAATTGGAAACCATTTTGACATTCAAGGTCTATTTGACCTTGACCTTTGACCTAAAGACCCCAAAAACGATACTGGTCATCCTCTGATCATGAACAATCCCCACACCAAAATTGAAGTTCCCAGGCCTAAGCATTCTTTAGATATTGATCAAAATTCATTTGGTATATGAACTGATTTACCAACGGACAGACAAATGCAAAGCAATATACCCCCACTTCTTTGAATGCAGGCATAATAAAAATATGTAAAAACATCTAACATTTAAAGTAATATATATCAAAACAATAGAAAATCGTTTTTTACATTTATTAACAGTTAATTATTATCATTTATAATCAAAATCTTCTAAGTACTGCTCCATTGTAAGAACTTAGAAATATCAAATTTAAAAAAAATGAATCAAAAATCAATGAAGCTACAATGATTATACTTTTTTGTAATGATATCCTTTCATTTAAAACAGAAAAAAACACAATTTACATTTTTATTCTCAACAGCCATTCAGTCTTAGAGTACAAATTTCCAATTTAACAAACATAATTAGACAAAGTATAAATCATAGACTCTTTAATTGTTTACACATTGAATATTTACATACCAAATACAAATACATAGTAATAAAAAATTGCACAATCAACAAATTTTAAATCAGTATTTCTCACTGATTGTTCATGCATAGTGCAAATCAAAACCTTAAACTGATTAGTGATAGTGACTACACATCGAGTAACTTAATATTCTTAATTAATTAAATACATAATTTATATAAAATGAAAATTTTAATGTTTTAATTTGATTACAAAATGCATAAATCAATTACCTCAATCAATCTACACAGAGCAGAAGTATAAAAAATACATATTTTGTCATCAATGCAATTGATGGTAATATTTAAAGTAAATTACTTTTATATTGTAAATATTGTAAACACAAACACACTTATCTTATCACAAATAATATATCTGCGTAATTTAAGGTATACTTTCATGTTTTATATACATGTAGTTTATCATGTTCGAGCTAATGAACACTCTACCTTGCAACTGTATCAGTATCATTTATTAACACAAAGATTTTGATAATTCAAGTTGGAAAATACACAAAATGAAAATGTATTTTATTAGCACTGATTGTGTTAAATTAAGTTTTCCAGATAAATTTTTTATCCTTTTGGTATAAATGATCACAGATGTGGCTTGAAATAATGACTGGTTCCCATGGACTCATAATTTGCTTGAAACAGCTGGTTCCAGGGATGGAAGGGTTTCTTCAAATGCGGCTCTCAACACGTCTTCTAGTTCCACAGCAAATATAAATGACAACTCACCCTGGAATATATAAAAATAATCTATAACCTGGTTTGAACTTTTCTTTAATTTTTACTGATAATATAAATATTATATAGATGAAACTAAAGGCAATTATTGTGCAAAAAATGATCAAATAATATGCACCAGAGCACCCTGTGGCAACTGTTCTTGGCAAAATGGTTGAAATACCTTCAGAAATTGTATTCACCTTCCTGCCCAGACAAGCCAATATTCACCAAAGTTTTCTATGGAAACTTTGATATTTTTCTTTGGAAAACTTGTAAAAGGTTTGTATTTAGTTGTTTTGAGTAACTCTGCATTTATCTTATTACAGATTTTTTTCTTATAAAACATTAGCAAAAGAATGTAGAACAAGAGCTGTCAGTAGGACAGCAACGCTCGACTATTCTTAGTGCTTGATAGTAAAAAAAATGCTTGATACAGTTACCTCCTCCTGTTTACAGGTTGGGGTCATGATGGTGAACAAGTGTGCAAAGTTTCAAAGCCATATGTCAATGGACTTTGAAAATATTTGAACTATTACAAAAACTTTAACGTAAATTCTAAGTCGAAAAAGGGGCATAATTCTGTCAAAATGCTTGATAGAGTTACCTCCTCCTGTTTACAGGTTGGGGTCATGATGTTATACAAATGTGCAAAGTTTCAAAGCCATATGTCAATGGACTTTGAAAATATTTGAACTATTGCAAAAACTTGGGTCATGATGGGGAACAAGTGTGCAAAGTTTCAAAGCCATATGTCTATGGACTTTGAAAATATTTGAACTATTACAAAAACTTTAACATAAATTCTAAGTCGAAAAAGGGGCATTATTCTGTCAAAATGCTTGATAGAGTTACCTTCTCCTGTCTACAGGTTGGGGTCATGATGGTGAACAAGTGTGCAAAGTTTCAAAGCCATATGTCAATGGACTTTGAAAATATTTGAACTATTACAAAAACTTTAACATAAGTGGTTACGCCGACGCCGACGCTCGGGTGACTGCAATAGCTCTACTTATTCTTATCGAATAGTCGAGCTAAAAAGTTAAACAAACAAATTAAACTTAAAATATAACTCATTCCAATTTAATGAAAAACTTAACTGTTTTTGTTTGTTGTCTGAAATATTGTTACAACAATGATATGCAGGTATACAGAATACTGAATGAATGTGCATTTAATACTAAATTTATTGGACGAGTAAAATAAAATCATATTATGCGAGTCTCTGGCTAGTTCAATAAATTTAGTATTGAATCTACATGATTATAATATTTTAATTATCACATACCAAAAATAAGAAACTGTTTATAGTTAAAAAAGAATCATTTTTTCATGGATGCGCATATATTGTAATGCTAACATTTAGCACATCTTTACGCTATGTTTGTGTTACGCAAATGACGTCACATCAAATATATATGCATGGCCTTGTAACAACATTTTTACAAAGTGGTGTGTGATAAAGTTATACAAAATATGTATCTAAAAGGTATGCAAATCAGGCCATCTATGATTAATTTAATTAGCATTAAGAAAGTTACAATGTTTGGAAAGGGAAAATAATTTACCTTAACATTGTTGGGAATTTCTTGTAAATCTTTCTCATTCCTCTTGGGTAGGATAATTCTCCTGATACCTGCTCTATGTGCAGCAAGCACTTTCTCTTTTATACCTCCAACCTGAACAATAAAAATATAAAACAAAGTCTGGCATGAACATTTCCAATCTTGTTTTAGTTAACATTTACCCTGCTGAAGGGGAAAGTGATTAGTCTTTGCCACCAGTATAGAGCCAGGCCAGCCTGCACATCCGTGCAGTCTGACCAGGCTCAAACTGTTGGCTGGGCAAATTCAAATTCTCACCTTGATATCCCCTAAAATTGATAATGGACTGTTCCAAAATGGAAACTGAATAAGTCCATTTAAGAAATTTAGCAGGTTAAGAGTTAAACGAGTTATTTAACAAATAATATCATTTATTTGTCAGGTGAATATGAATGAATAATAGTAATATTTAGAAGTAAGGTTAAAGATTTCACTAAACAAGGGTCTTTAAATTTGAGAAATGTAGCATCAACTTCATACAATCAAATCCTTTTAATAATCCTTCAAAATTTAACAGAACACATGACATATGTATTTGTTAAACTCCTTAGAGCATGCCCCTGAACAAGTTAACTTGTAACTAACATAAACATCACTTTAAGGTCAGCTATATCTCTGATATCAAACAAATCTCAAGAAATATTACTTTAAAATAACAGATCATTGGCTCACTTATTTTAACTGTGAAAGATGACCCCAAAATGAAAAGTGTTTCAACTCTTTAAATCAGGCAAACAGCATGAAAATATGATTTTCAATTTAATTCCTCTTATATTTCTTTTGAATGTTTTTTACGTTTAAATTGCCAAAGTTGATAAATGTAAAACAATTCAAATCTATGTTTTAAAGCTTTTGGACCTCAGTGGAGTCCCTTTACATTAGAGACCAAACATAAATATCCCGAGATCTAATGGTCTTTCCATCCATAAAGAATATATTCTTAATATTGCTTTAAACAAATTAACCCAAATCTTTTGAAAGGCCAAGTCTAAAATTCTTTTAGTCAAAATATCTTAAACTTATTCAAAGAAAAATAACTCTGCACTTACAGGCAGGACAATTCCTCTGAGAGTAATCTCCCCTGTCATAGCTGTATCTGAACGTACACAATGTTTGGTAAAGAGGGAAACCAGCACTGTTGCTATGGTAACACCAGCAGACGGTCCATCCTTGCCAACAGCCCCAGCTGGGAAATGTATATGTACGTCCATCTTAGATATCTCCTTCTCATCAAAGTGAAACTGTTAAAAAATGAAAAGATATACACAATTCTTTAAAATAATTCATCAATTTTTTTTAAAGTTCTGTTGCTTCTACATCTTGAAATAGTCAAATTAACATCAATACAATCAAGAGTAAGGCAATCAAGAGTAAGGGGAAACATGTCCTAATAAATGCAGAGAAAGACAAGCTGGTCGGAATTAATATTGGAATCTGACAAATGAAATGCCCCATACTGGACATATTCATATCCTTCATTATTAAAATTTAACATGAAAATACCAGATTGCATCTATATTTTATTAGTTATCACAGAAAATATATTTTTATAAATAAAAGAATCATTTAAATATAAAACTCTTTAGCAAAAATAATATAATGAAGTATAGATACCATTCTAGCGTGTGTTTTCACCCAGTTCATGGCAAGATTGGCAGACTCCTTCATAACATCTCCCAGCTGTCCGGTCAAAGTCAGCGTCCCCTCCCCCTTCATGCATGAAGCCTCTACAAACATTATTTCTCCACCCATTGGTGTCCAGGCCAGGCCTACAGCAACTCCTGGGTGAATCAGTCGTTGAGCAACTTCACTTTCATACATTGCTTGCTGAAATCAAGACCCATATATATACATACATGTACAACAATACATGCAGTTTGAAAACTGTTTTACAACAACCTCAGAGCTAATCCTCATGTGTTTTTTAAAGATTTCTATAAATTAATTTGTTCATTGGTAAGTTTTACAATATTCTCAGTATTCATAGACAGACTGTTACTTACTAGGTTTATATGTATGTGGATCCTGCATTAGTACTTAAAAGTTTTCATTAGGTAAACGCCAACATTTCAACATAAATCATTTTGAGAAAACAAGAGTCCAGGATAAATGGCTTTAGACATACAACAAATCAGATTTATTGTTATATCAACTGAAAAATGCACTGAAAATTGCTTAACAATAGATAAGATGTCTTACACCAAGTATGTCCTCTATTGCACTTTCATCAATTACAATCGGCATTTCCGGAGGATGAGCTAGAGCTGATGCATCGTGGGTAATGTCCTTTAGCTTATCATTCTTTATATCCTTCTCTGAGTATTGACTGTCCAGTTTGTCACGTTTTGTCTGGTACGAACTTTCAGCAACTCTTACTGCTACTGCTCGACACAACCCTGCAATCTTCCTCTCGAGGGTTCTTACTCCAGACTCCCTTGTGTATCTAGAAACTGATTGCAAATATTACTGTGAGAGAAAATACAATTGACACTGAATACACCAAACTTGAAAATGTTACAAAAAATGACACTCAATTAAAGCATGTACATGTATAAGGTTTCACTAAAGAACGATATCATTGTTACAAAAATTAAGGTTTTAGTTTTGGAACATTTGCCCCTACAGCTGACAAGTTTGAATCACATAAAAGTATTACAGTTTATATTATTGGAACAGCTTTTAATTGTACAGGTTACAGTTAAGAATATAATGATCAAACAAATCAAAGAAGATAGTGTACATAGTAAACAGATCATTCTGATCTCCTAATAAGTTACTTAAAGCTCATTTAAGCCTTGTTTGATTGGGTTTTTTTGTTGTTGTTTCTTTTTTGTTATATGCATATATTGACACACTTTTCATCATATCTCGACAGTTCATCAAACAAACAGGATAACTAACCAGCAGTTACAAATTTCCCAGCAAGCGACCAACAACTAATTCCTCATTTCTGAATCAGCAGTATGAGACAAATGACCATTAGACTCAATGTCAAGGTCAATTGCCATTAACTAATTTCCGTTGCCACAAGATCTTATCTGCCACCCCTTGATTACAAATCTAATGCTTGAACTTTTGAACTAGCACACAGACAGGTCAATATAAATAAATGGAACACTATGGTAAGCAAAATGAAGACTTACTTATGATTTTAATACTGTCATCAGGAATCTGGAGCTGTTCTAGTGTTAGTCCATGATCCTTTAACTGTTTGGGTATAAGATGTTGAACAGCAATGTTCACTTTCTCTTCCTGTGTGTAACCTGTCATTCATAAATCAAATAACTATAAATATTAGTTTATATAAATTTATTTTAGTTTGATTGTGTTAGAAGCAATAAGCTTATTAAAACATTTCAAATCCGTTCTTGGAACCAACCAGTACTAAGCAATCAATGTAGTTTCTTGCTCAAGAAAAACAACGGCTTGCCCCTGACAGGGTTTGAACCCACACGGTCAGTAATTCTTAGATAACTTAACAGACGTGTTACCTCTCGGCCATGCCGCTACTTCACTGTAAATATTGATGATTCATAATATACCAATTATCAAACCTGTAAATTTTAAATGTTCAATATCAAAGAAAGTGAATGTAAACTTCTATACGCAAAATAGTAAAGGATGTAAATTAAACATGGTAGCAATCAGTTTGGCTGAATGACCAACTTACAAAATTAGGACATCATTTCACTTTTGGTGTATAGCAAACAGTTTGAAGTGGGCTGATTAAAATACTGTAACCCAACAAATATTCGCGACCAATTAATATTCGCTTTATTCGCGGATGGCCACGAAGCGCGAATATTTGTTTGCGCGAATAAGTCAGCATGATTTCGCGAATAAATTGGAGAGAATTTTTTATTTTAGACGTTGTTCATGCAAAGCTACTCGACCGGATATATTCGAATTTTACGGGCACCTGTTAGGAAGTAATGAATTGTTATGAATATTGCCATAAAGCAATAAAAACACAAACTAGGTAAACTACTACTATTTTATAAATATCAAAAGAACTCTATGTCAATATAGCAATTAAAATAAACATCCACATTTTAATACAGTTTATGAAATACTAGTAGGCCTATTGTCAATCACGTTCCGTATAGGGTACTATACGGAGCATGTGTCAGTTTTAAGTTTCTTCATATTTACACTTCTATACTAAGTTTACAGTATGCATACAAAGTACTCGCACTTTTTTTTAGAAGTCCAGCTTTTTTCTAGAAATGAAGACGAACGATGCGTACATGTACATATATAGAGAAAATGTTTTGCTGAAGTGTGGTCACAATTCACTTACCAATACAATATAAGGCTAGCGTATTGTTAATTCCATTTAAGACACCAATAATGACCTTAATTATTGAAGATTAATAGTCGGCTAATGGATTTTACGGCCCCATTGGACTTTCAAATCCGCGAATATTTTTTTCGGAAATCAAGAAAACGCGCAAATTAATATTTGCGAATATGTACGACCTCGGCAAAACGCGAAAATTTGTATTCGGGAATATAAATTGGGTTACAGTAGTTGTTTAGTTGGAACTGGAAGATCTTATTTAAAACAGAATAATAGATTAATAAAACATTAGATATCAAGTACAAGTACATGTATTAAAATATTTTAATGTGGAATAGCTACATGAAGTATATAAGTAATACATCTAATGTTCATTAGGTGAAACCTATTTCAATCACACATTTACACAAACAAATATCCTCTATATACATGTACTACCTGGAACATGAATAACTTCCATCCTGTCTAGAAGGGCTGGTGGAATTGTGTTCATGTTGTTTGCTGTAGCTATAAATAGAACTTGGGAAAGGTCAAAGGGCACGTTTAGATAACTGAGACAAATAGTTAAGGAAAAATAAAACCAGACAAAGATAGGTATCTTTGACTCTTACATTTTTAAAACTGGAAATGTGTCCCCAGGACACAGATACCCCAACCATATGACCTTTTCTGTTCAGAAGCAGTAGTGTAGAATGTAAATTTACACTCATGTTGCTAAGATACTCAATTTATGTACTTCAAAAGCTGGTACCTTTATTCACCAAGACTAGTACATGTATAGCCTAATACAGTCGAACTTCATTCCCTTTAACTCGGAGGGCCTGTGCAAATTTGTTCGAGAGATATTGGTAGTTCGAGCCAATCGGGGTTGAACTATTATCACATAGGACATAGGCATAAATGTTTTCCAGCTTGCATCCGTCGAATGATAAATACCTCAATATAATTGTTTGTTGTTACATCAGTTCCTCGAAACGTCATTACTTTTAAATATTAAGAATTATTATCCCAGTGTTTTCAAATCAGTATTGATGGTACACTATGTAAATCTATATTCATGCATATTGTAAATGGTTGAGTACGATTGGGCAACCATTTTCCAAACTTGATGAACAATGTTTAAAATATATTTATATGTTTATTATTTTGGCTTTTGCACATTTCACTTATCTCACGAGTTATTTTCTTTTTATAGTTACTAAAGACGGCAAATAAACAATATTATCATAACAAACAAATTGGTTTCAACACCTCTAGTTTTGTATCAATAAACCTTAATTGCCTTTATCACAATCACGAGGTTTTAAAAGCATGTGTCGCCGTCTGTCACTTATTTAGAACATGTCGACCCTTAACTTTTGTTGTCTTTTTGTGTTTGACCGAAAAGTTGTGATTTTAACTATATTTCTGCTAAAGGGACCAGAGATCAGGTACGAGAGTTTGAGCGATCCCAGGTAGAACAATATATATTATATAGGAATTTTGACGGAACTGGTCAATGAGTTCAAGCAAAGGGAGGTATTTAAGCGATCTGAGTTCGAGCGAACAAAGTTCAACTGTATATGCAAATTAAGGACTTGTTTATTTATGCCTTTTCTACGTTAGTTTACTCAAGTAGGTTAGTTTCTATTGTATTTTATCCATATTTCACAGATTTCCATACTGACATACAAACAACATTTGTTTCAATAATTACCATTGGTATATAGTTATGTTACAATATAACAAGGATACTGATCAGTGAAAGTATTATTCTGTTCTGGATCTAGGACCTCAAGTAGGGCGGCTGCCGGATCACCATGTAAGCTTTTACCCTGTCAATCATAGTTCAAATATAAATATACTAATCAAATAATTACCTGTATACATATAAAAAATTAGTGAAATTATATATGTGGAAGAGCACGAATCAAATTAGCATTTTAACACTGATAAACATATCAATATAAAAGAGGACATCAAAGAAGCATGGCTGCCTGTCAAAAATCTTTATTACTTATAGAATAAACAGTTTAAGTTATATAATGCCAAGCTAACAACTCAGGTACTTAAACTGCAACTGATGATACTATGCCATATTGCAGTCAAAAGTTTTCTAGAAGTGTTGAATATGTAGAATTTTAGAATATGCAAGGGAGATTACCAGTTTGTCAACTTCATCCAAGAGGAAGACAGGGTTATTTGTCCCACTCACTTTAAGCCCCTGTATAATTCTACCAGGCATTGAACCAATATAAGTTCTCCTGTGACCTCGGATATCTGACTGGTCACATACACCTCCGAGGGAAATCCTAGAAACAGTATGAAAATAATACATTTACATCATAATAAAATAAACGAAATTTAATGTATGAACCATTTGCACTTAAATTAAGATAAGTGGCATGGCCAAGTGGTTAACCTGTAGGACTAGTAATCTAAGGATTGCTGATGGCATGGGTGAAAATCCTGTTGGGGCAAGCCATTGTTTCTTTGAACAAGAAACTTAACATTCATTCCTTAGAACTGGTTGGTTTTCCAGGAATGGATTCAAGAGTGTTTCAATAAGCTTATAGCTTCCAATACAATCAAACTAAAATAAATTTGTATAAACTAAATTACTTTCAAATCTGACTTAATCACAGAATGAAATAATGAAGTAACTACAAAATTAAATACCTGTGAAATTCCCTGCCAAGTGTATGAGCTATAGATTTTCCAACGCTTGTCTTCCCTACACCCGGTGGTCCAATGAAGCAAAGGATAGGACCTTTTAGCGACTTCCTAAGTTGTCGGACAGCTAAATATTCAAGCACTCTTTTCTTTAATTTCTCTAGTCCAAAATGGTCAGCATCCATGTCTTTTCTAGCCTGTTTCAAGTCAAGTGAATCCTTGGTGCTCTTAGACCATGGTAACTCAACCATTAGTTCCAAATAATTCCTGCATAACATAAATAAAATTTACATATACATATGAGCTGGGCAATGACAAAACCAACAGTGTGTTTGCAACCAGCATGGATCCAGACCAGCCTGCACATCCGCCCAGTCTGATCAGGATCCGTGATGTTCGCTATCAGTTTCTCTACTTGTAAAAGAGTTTGTAAGCCAACAGCAAGGATCCTGGTCAGACTGTGCGGATGTTGCTTTTGTCATGGCGCGGCTCAATTATTGTTTTAAGTAAGTAACAGTATTGTAATAAAGAAACAGTAACAGTAACTACTCATAGTAGTATAGTAACAGAAAAACTAGAGCTATGACTAGAGGTGATTCATACCTCACCCAACAACTTAAATATGTGAAATATGAGTAGTCTGAAACCAAACTTAAACTTTGCATGTGTTATTTGTGTGTTATTTGTGTACCAATGATTATTACAATCTGTTGCTTTGTAAAAGAGTTATCGTCTAGAAACAATAATTGTTTTTAAAAAAAAGAAGGGGCATAACTATGTAAAAATAATAGTAGTAAAAAGTACTTGTCTGAAGCCTTAGAAATTTACATTGCCAATCTCTAGTACATTCTACTTGTTTTGACAGAAAATAATGAATACATTTAATACAAATCAAATAGATTTAATTTTATTAAAATTCTAGTAACCTAATCATAGCTTGTTCAGGCATATGTTGAGGCATCTTTTTCAATCTTTTCAGCTCCTTTATTGCTGCCTTATGTGCATGGTCAGGCATTTCTGCTTGCCTGAAATATAAAATCATACTCCTTTGTAATAATAGCACTCATGAGTCCTTAAAATATTTATATACTTAAGTATTCTTCATAAAAGGCAAGTGTAATATTGATAAATAAAATATATGAGCCGCATCATGACAAAACCAACATAGTGTGTTTGCGACCAGCATGGATCCAGACCAGCCTGCGCTTCTGCGCAGTCTGATCAGGATCGATGCTGTTTGCTTAAAAACCCTATTACAAGTAGAGAAACTGATAGCGAACAGCATGGATCCTGATCAGACTGCGCAGGCTGGTCTGGATCCATGCTGGTCGCAAACCCACTATGTTGGTTTTGTCATGACACGGCTCATAATTATATATTTATATGTTTCACAAACTTATGACAGAAGAAACTCTAGTTATTAATTAGACAAGGACTTTGAATATCACTGTGACCTTGATTGAGTGACCTCAAGGTCACGAGGGGTCCTCTTCTGGTCATGGACAATGTAACTTCTTAGTTGTTTTGTGCATGACCTCAAGATCCAAAGGGGTCTTCCACTGGCCATATGCCTCCTGAATTAAAAACTTAGGCTCATCCCTTCTCAAGAAATTGATCAAACATTGATTTTATGAAAAGGGTCACTGCGACCTTTGACCTGATGACCTCAAAATCAATAGAGGTCCTCTACTGATCATGGGCAATGCACAAACTTAGTTACATATTCAATAGATTATTCATTTACAATTTATCTATAAGACAAGGACATACAGGCTATCCCATCACAGAATGCTTCCCAGTTTGTCAGAGGTGGCATAAAAAAAACTCTGAACTTTGAGAAAAAATCTTGAAAATGATAAGATTTAATCCATGTCATTTTCTGTGTGAAAAAATGGATTGTGAAATTAGAGATTATCTTTATAACAATGTGAGCTATCTGTCAATTATCTATATGTATACTAGTATATACTTTTTTAATTACAGAAGTGACCTACTTTATTTTAGCTTCAAGGTCATGTAGTTCATCATTATCCTCATTATCATCATCATCAATGTCCATCTTCATCTTACCACGGAATATACGTCTCATATTTCCTGGCCGCCCACCTTCCTTACGAGAGTCCTTGATTACCAATGCTCGATCCTTTTTAGCTTTCTGTAACAACTTCAGCCCCTGCAAAATATGCATACATTTTTTCATGTAGTTGTGCCCGGCAAATATAGCATTTTCCCATCTAATTTGGGTGTGCAAAAAAAGATTATACCATAGTAACTTCACAGTGCCTGTCATTCACAAAAGTGTAATCATTAAATTTTAAAAAAAGAAGAAAATTTTTTTAATTTGTATGAAAACATCCGCTATTTAATGCTAAAATATACTGTTAAATTTGGACTGCTACTTAAAGCAATGTTTGTCCCAAAGGCAGAGTTTCTCATGTAAACCGAAACTGTACTTTCGATGTCGCCACAATGAGGTTGCAGACATGTACACTAATAAAGCTCATTTTGATTGTCTGGACACCCAAGATAAAAACAGGATTCGATATATAACCCATTTATTAATGAAATGTAGCTATGTGACTATGTCTGTTTTTATGAAATTTATAAAATGCAGCTTTAAACATAGTTTCAATTCAATCATGAAATATACCCAAGGCATTTCATTATTTCACAATTCACATCTATATATAGAGGCTTATTTACCATAGACTAAACTCAGTGGCCTTGAACTTGAGTGTAGAGTATAGAACAAGATTTGTTTGTAAAAATTTCATGCATGCAAAAAAGCTTTTTTAAGGATTAAAACTCAATTACAGTAAATAATGTAATAAGAATGTATTGCAAGATAATGACACATTTCGTTTACTTTTATACCATAACTTGACTGGTTTCCTGTAAAAAAGATAACAACAATTTTCATGGTTTCATAAACTTTGCTAAATATGACCAGCATCATGACAAAACAAACTTAATGGGTTGGCGACCAGCATGGATCCAGACCAGCCTGCGCATCTGTGCAGTCTGATCAGGATCCATGCTGTTCGCTATCAGTTTCACTACTTGCTATAGGGTTTGTAAGCGAACAGCATGGATCCTGATCAGACTGCGTGGATGCGCAGGCTGGTCTGGATCCATGCTGGTCGCAAACCCATTATGTTGGTTTTGTCGTGACGTGGCTCATATCTTAAATGGACTGATCAATCTTTCAATCTGAACAATACCATACATCATCATTCTTAGGGAAAATTAAACAAGAGGGCCATGATGGCCCTGAGGTCGCTCACCTGTATATAGGCCCCCCCAACCCCCACCCCCCCAACATGCAGGGCCAATTTAACCCAAGGGCTTTTATTTGCACAAACTTGGTAGACACCCATAAGAAGATGTTTCATGCTAAACATCTAAGCTCTAGCTCATTGGGCTTTTTAAAAGAAGATTTTTTTTCAGTTTTTACTATACACATATAGTTAAAAACAATGACACCCCTGGGGCCGGGCCAGTTTTGACCCCAGGGCTTTTATTTGAACAAACTTTGTAGACACTTACTAGAAGTAATCATGTTTAATATCTAAACTCTAGCTATTTGGGTTTTTTCAAAGAAGATTTAAAGTTTTTGCTAAACACATATAAAGAAAATCAATGACCCCCGGGGCGGGGCCAATTTTGATCCCAGGTCTTTTATTTGAACAAACTTTGTAGACACTCACTAAAAGATGTTTCATGCTTAATATCTTAACTCTAGCTATTTGGGTTTTTTCAAAGAAGATTTTTTAAGTTTTTGCTTATTTACACATATAAGGAAAATCAATGACCCCCCGGGCAGTGCCAATTTTGACCCCAGGGCTTTTATTTGAACTTGGTAGACACTTATTAGAACATGTTTGATGCTCAATATCTTAGCCATAGCTCTTTGAGTTCTTTAAAAGAAGATTTTTTAAGTTTTTACCATATGCATATAGGGAAAATCAATGACCCCCGGGGCGGGGCCAATTTTGACCCCAGGGCTTTTATTTGAACAAACTTGGTAGACACCCATTAGAACATGTTTCATGCTAAATATCTTAGCTCTAGCTCTTTGGGTTCTTTAAAAGAAGATTTTTTAAGTTTTTACTATATGCATATAGGGAAAATCAATGACCCCCCGGGGCGGGGCCAATTTTTACCCCAGGGCTTTTATTTGAACAAACTTGGTAGACACTCGCTAGAAGATGTTTCATGCCAAATATCTAAGCTCTAGCTCTTTGAGTTCTTTAAAAGAAGATTTTTTAAGTTTTTACTATATACATATAGGGAAAATCAATGACCCCCCAGGGCGGGGCCAATTTTGACCCCAGGGCTTTTATTTGAACAAACTTGGTAGACACCCATTAGAACATGTTTCATGCTAAAAATCTTAGCTCTAGCTCTTTGGGTTCTTTAAAAGAAGATTTTTTAAGTTTTTACTATATGCATATAGGGAAAATCAATGACCCCCCGGGGCGGGGCCAATTTTTACCCCAGGGCTTTTATTTGAACAAACTTGGTAGACACCCATTAGAACATGTTTCATGCTAAATATCTTAGCTCTAGCTCTTTGGGTTCTTTAAAAGAAGATTTTTTAAGTTTTTACTATATGCATATAGGGAAAATCAATGACCCCCCGGGGCGGGGCCAATTTTGACCCCAGGGCTTTTATTTGAACAAACTTGGTAGACACTCACTAGAAGATGTTTCATGCCAAATATCTAAGCTCTAGCTCTTATGGTTTTTTAAAAGAAGATATTTAAAGTTTTTTCTTTCGGTTGCCATGGCAACCAGAGTTCTGCATGGAATTAAATTCTTTGAACAATTTTTAAAGGTGACCACCAAAGGAACATTCCTGTGAAGTTTGGATGAAATTGGCTTAGTGGTTTATGAGGAGATGTCATTTAAAGTAAAAGTTTACGGACGGACGGACGGACGGACGATGGACGGACGACGGACGGACGGACGCCGGACGAAAAGTGATCACAAAAGCTCACCCTGTCACTTTGTGACAGGTGAGCTAAAAATATACACTGACTGAATAATAAACAGTGCAGACGGCACAAATTGTGACTGATCTTGGTCTGCATTGGTCACATGTGTAAATACAGTTGCCCAAAGCAGGTTAAAGGTTAAGATTCAAACTTACTTCAATCTGCCTCATCAGTAAAGGTAGGGCTTTCTTAAATCTGTCGAGAAGATCTACAGCATCTAGCACTTGTATTTTCTCTGTGTACGAAGCTTTAACCATAGCTGCACAGATATCAGGCAGATGTTGGCTAGGTACACTCTCTAGCATTCTCTGTAATACAAAAAAAATTACATGTATCTACATAAATGTTGTTGAACATGTACAGCACTAGTCTGAAGTTCCTTCCCCTTATACTAGTCTGGAGTTCCTTCCCCTTATACTAGTCTGGAGTTCCTTCCCCTTATACTATGTTATAGTAAATGTAGGCAGGGAACCAGACTAGTACAGCACTAGCAACAATTATGGCAGACCAAAATAACCACAAATTTTGCATTTAGGCTAATACTGGACCTTTCACAATTTTTACCTCAAAAGAAATTTCTTACATATTTAATCCCTTCAATTATAATTCAATTTAAATTAAATCCTGCAGTTATTATCAAACACTTGAGTATTCTCAAACACTCATGTATTCTATCAAAAAAATGAATCACTTTAAGCAAATTTGACCAGTTTCAGCATCAGATATCTATAAGAAAATCATTGAGTAAATTGAGTTAACTAAAGACAAGATCTTTTCAAATAGTTTTGAATATATAAATGTATATTTTATATTTATAAATATGAAAGAAAGTGGAGAAATAGTTAATGAAGATTATACATGTACTACCTTTAGTTTAGATACGACTGGTATAGAGACATCAAGCATGTCAACTAGTTTGGATGCCTGCTCTCTAAAATTCTCAGCCAGATTTCCCAGCTCTCTATTACTGTTTAGATCATCTTCTACAACAATAACATAACCAGAATTACCATAAACATTTAACATAATCCTATTGTTTTTTGTTCTTTCGCTTTTTTATCTCTTTTTGGATTTAAGTCAAACTGCCCTGTGCATTTTTTCAGGTTTTATGTAATTAAGTAGAACCACTGAAATTCCACAAACAATACAGGCAATACAACCCTGACATGAAAGTTTCCAAAGCTTAAAAGTTCCAGGAGGGATTCGGGCCCATATCAGTCAGTAAGTGAATCTAACCACTCTGTAGCAGAGGTGCCAAAGCTCTTCATTCAATACAGACATAATAGATTAGAATGATAATGTTTGGGAATCATCACTAATATAATCTGTGTCTAATAAAACAACAAGAGCTGTCACAGACAATGCAGCAGTCCTGAGATTACTGGTATAATGGTGTTTGATTCCCAACTTCTAACCCAAATGTGGAAATTTACACTTTAAAGAAGCTGTGTAATTTTAAAGAAATTGACCTGATTTTGAAATAAATTTAAATTTAATAAATATATCACTGCACACAAGATCCATATTGAAATTGAAAGTTTTTGTTACAGACAGGGAGAAATTGACCATTTTCAATGTTTACTTAAAACTTGTATAACATTCTTGATTTATCAGTGGTAGTTAACTTTCCCTTAGTTGAATAATCAGTTTAAAGTCAAGGTCACAGGTAACAAAGCAGATTTTGTTTCATTTAGTAATGATGCTGTACTAATACATGTATTAACCGTATTTCATCTACATTCTGTGTTTCTGGATGCTTTACTAATGAAAATAACTTTTTTATCAGCAAGTATAAATGTCAACTTCACTGCACTAATCATTTGTAACAGCATTGCAAGATCATTTTGTATACATAATATATCAACAATATATACATCATCACCTTAGTGCAGTAACAAAATAAAACCTTCTAAATTCAATAGGAGTTAATCAGTTATTGCACTAAGGTGATGACATGAAGTTGTACATCTCATTTGGTACAAATGTACCACATCAAAACAGATACTATTTTTAGAAAATTGACCTAGATTTGATATTTAATTATAGAGATTAAAATCTAGGACTCTGTCTTAAAATTCAGAACAAGAAAGAAAATTTCATAAACGCAACTTTTGAACCTTTTCTTACAATTTAACATAATCTGGTACATGTATAATTTTTAACATCTGTACTCTTAAGCCATGTAAAGTAAAAATAAAAAATTGTTCCTTTTGTAATTACTTTTAAAAATACAAAATGTAATTATAAAACAGTAAATAAATTTTTTCTGATAAAATTATATGATGATTTTATTTTTTTACTTTTCCTCCAGACTAAACGAAATATAAGATTGATATATGGGACAGAAAAGTAAATGAACATGAACAGAAAAAGCTGTCAGAAGTGTCAGTGTGCTCATTTGTCTTGATAATGAATTATAGTAAACAAAGGCATAACATAAATTAAAAGACATAATAATGAACATCTTAACAATAAAATATAAATTTCCAAATTCTATAAATCACAGTTAGATATTTACAGAAAGAAGTTCTAATGAAAAAGCTCCATGAAAAATAACAAATTTTTCATGAAATTCAGAGTTCAAAAAGAAAATAATTATTGAAATACAGTTGCCTTGTTATGTATCATGAGGGAGATCATTGTTTGAAGTAAATCCCTTGAGTAATAGTCTAATGGATACGATTGAGTGAAAAGGTAACAACTCTTTTAATGGAATTTAAAGGGTGAATAATTTAAGAAACATAAATCCAGTAAATCCTTAAGTAATAAAGAAGACAGGATATAAAATATGTAACTGCTTAAAAACTTAAATCTACACTGTGGATGGTGAGGAGACTAGCTAAATATATACTTTCAAGAGCTAAAAAGGTACCTTTCGAAACCTATACACAATCAGTCACTGATACTCAAGCAATCCTAAGCTTTAGATCATAGAAGAAGAAGTTTTGTCATAACTTAAGTTATATCTTTAGTGATTTATGTTACTGAAACTAAAACAAATGAAGTATTATGTAAAAACAGCAAAAATGCCTATAGATATACATGTACCAACCATAGCAAATAATATAGCATGTAAACAGTAAACTAAATTATCTTACCAGCATCATCTGAAAGTTTGTCAAGTTGTGTCACTGTTGCTATTGGAAATGGTGATTCTTGCAGCAATTGTTCCCGTCTAAATCTACACAAGCCAGTAACCAGCAAGGTGTATGATGGCCTGGGCCAGTTTGTTCCTGTTACCTGCACAACAACAGCTGCTGTTCCAATAGAATGTAGGCCTGACAGTTCATCTGTCTGTTATGGAAATAATAATGTTACTTTATTTACTATTCAGCTACATTAATAAAAATATACATGTATTTACACATACTTTAATACCATGGGGTTCATTAACAGACTGATTCTCTACAACTCAACTAATTTTTAAAATTAATGACAAGAACTCAAATCAATGTCGCACAATGGTCCATTCTGTATATTCACTTAAAGATCCAAATTTCTAAATCTTGGGATGTGTATCACTCCTTGTTCCACTAAAAACATCAAATAACTAATCATAAATAGGATTTGAGAAGTTGTCTTGGTGTTTTATTAACAGTTTATCAGCCAATTTATGTTTGCTTACATAAATTTTCATGTTTTGCCAAGGTTCCACTGATCATCAAATATGTATCTTTATGTTTTTCAGATTCAGATTTTTTTTTGCAAATTTGCAAGTCCAAGGGGTTGCCCAAATAACGTTTTTTAAGTATTAAAAGACCATCACTGTGCATCTACACTTTGATTATCATAATCACCATGCTTTTGATATTTAGAGAATTTATCTATTTAGAAATTTAGTTTTTCACTGACAATAATAATGATGATTCATTGTCAATATATGAATATTCAGATACATACCTAGGCATCAACAACTTCCAGACAAAATGTGTGAAGAAAATTTTGTGCCATCTACTAATACAGCAATGATCAATCATTGGGAATTTATTTATTGGGTTACGCTCACTAAGACTAAGCTTTTACAGAAGAGTATTATATGAGTACAAAAATAAAAGAAGGAAAGCTATTAAGTCAAAGAATGGAATGGTTTGTGTAATCATTAAGAAATAAGACTATTGCTTTTTGTCTGATTGATAAGTTATACTGACAGAGATTTACCTGTGAATCATCAACTGGCTCTCTAGGTATAACTCCTACAATAGTACTGCTCAAAGTATTCCTGCTCAGTAAGTGGCTCTTTACCATGTTCATACTGTAACACAATATACATAGAAATTACATTTAAAGTAAGTTAATACAGCACCTTTGATAAGAACAATGCATGTGCTACTTACCTTTATCAACCAAATTCAAGACTGTTTATTGTATTATTTGGTATTATTGCACTTACCTTCTCAGTAAGATGAATAACTTTGTGATATTTGTATTTTTTAACTAGTTAAATTATTTACAAATAGTTTAATTATTTACAAGTGACAGCTGATCAATTGTTAAGTGTACTATCTTACTATCTAAATTATTTAATGCTTATGTTATCATAAAAAAATTGAAGGATAAAGTTTCAAAAAATTAAGTTATGACCAAATAGTCAAAATCTTTTTAATCTCTTTAATGTACACTGTTTACTATGTACAAAAATATACCCTTTCATGGTGAACAGTAAGAAACAAGAGCCGGTTGAACCGGGTGATGCTCCCCTAATAGGTTTTGGACACAGGTATACCTCTTGTAGTGTCAGAGATATGTCACAGACAAAGTTCAAAGTGTAAAAACAACCAAAATGTTGCACACGACACATCGTCTCAATATGGTGATCATTTCTGTGAAATAATTTTAAAAATCCGACTTCAAATAATGAAGTTATGGACCGGACACAATTTTGCTGCAACGTTATGCTGTGACCTTGACCTTCAAGGTAGCTACCCAAATGTTGAATGTGGCACTTCGATTCAATATGGTGATCATCTCTGTGAAATAGTTGTTATATCCAACTTCAAGTAATGAAGTTATTGGCTTGACACGATTTTGCTGCAAGGTCATGCTGTGACCTTGACCTTCAAGGTAGTGACCCAATTGCTGTGCCCAACACGTTGTCTCAATATGGTGATCATTTCTGTGAAATAGTTTTGAAATCTGACTTCAAATAACAAAGTTATGGGCCGGACACGATTTTGTTGCAAGGTCATGCTGTGACCTTGACCTTCAAGGTAGCGACCTAAATAACAGGGCTCAAGCTAGGTTCAAAATTTAGGGAGAAGTCACTTCTCCCTCCAGCTGCTTTAGGGAGAAGTGGGGAGACTTTAGGGAGAAGTGAGGAGATTCATTTATCGATGTTTGTTGTATGTTATCGCAATTATGTTGACTCATTGTACATATATTATTAAATGAATTGGATTTGTGTTACAACAGAATATTCAATTTTAATTTAAAAGTAGTTTGAAACAAGTAATAAGAATGAGTATCATGTAATGCAACCATGCATTAAATGAAGATAAAAAAGCCATAGTTGATTCCTATCATGGATCATATCATGGGTGGATTAACAGTTATTCCCTTCTGATTTACTATTAAAAACCTTGCGCCGGACATTATATTCATATTCACTTATGTTTGTAAAGAAAATGAAAGTAGATAACAAAAGAAACGATCTTTAATTTAACTTCATTTGTAATAAATACAGTGTAATACGCCGTCAATTTTATCAAATTTAACTCGTCTACAAAAAAGGTTATCATAACTTTCATTTAAAATTACCGTTACAGTTATATGTCGAGCGGTCCTCTTAATTCTGACAATCATTTGATAGTGAAAGTTTAATTGACGTTTGATCCGTCCATCATAAATAATTGTTACGGGTAGTTGTATGTTAGCGATTTAATGACTGGTTTAATAATGTCGCCTCGATTAAAACGTGAATTACGATTGGTTTCTCGCACGTATCGGTAATCTCGCCGTGGGCGGAGTCTAATTGTTCCTCGAGCGTCTGTTAATAAGACTTTTATGACATGTTGGTAAACAAACGGATTAATGACATTTCGCGTTGATTGAGATGCATGACAGTCCCTTTTTCCGGCGGCGAGGGTAAACAAAGCAAACACACACAACAAGTTATTCTTGTCGGTAATTTTCAATAATGGATCAATAAAATCGGGCGACTTCATCTTCGCTTTCATGTAGGATGTCGGCGAAGTCAAACGGAATTCGGCGACTATTTCGCCCGAATCGCCCACAAGCTCGAGCCCTGTAATAATGTGCGCGACACGTTGTCAAAATGTGGTGATCATTTCTGTGAAATAGTTTTAAAATCTGACTTCAAATAACAAATTTATTGGCCGGACACGATTTTGTTGCAAGGTCATGCTGTAACCTTGACCTGCAAGGTAGCGACCCAAATGTTGCTCGCGACACATTGTCTCAATATGGTGATCATTTCTGAGAAATAGTTTTAAAATCCGACCATAAATAACTAAGTTATGGGCCGGACACGATTTTGTCGCAAGGTCATGCTGTGACCTTGACCTTCAAGGTAGCAACCCAAATGTTGCTCGCGACACGTCGTCTCAATATGGTCATCAGTTCTGAGAAATAGTTTTAAAATCCGACTTCAAATAATGAAGTTATGGGCCGGACATGATTTTGCTGCAAGGTCATGCTGTGACCTTGACCTTCAAAGTAGCGACCGAAATGTTGGGCGCGATACGTCGTCTCAATATGGTGATCATTTCTGTGAAATAGTTTTAAAATCCGACTTCAAATAATGAAGTTATGGGCCGGACACAATTCGGGACGAACATACGGACCGACTGACGGACGGACAACCCGACGACTATATGCTCCCCCGAAATTTTTTCGGGGAGCATAAAAAGGTGAGTGTGTCTTATTGGACTAAAAGATAATGCAGCACTTAACCCCAGTTTCTTGTCTCATTATAGCGAGCTCGAAGAGCAGGCCCAAAGGGCCTGCTTGTAAAGCAAGCTTTACTGTAACGTGAGTACCTGCTAGAAAGTGATGCTTTTAAAAACTTCTCTAGAAGTGGGAAATTGACACATCACAACTTTTCGAATTATAGGATATCAACAAAAGCCCAGGAATTCTGTTTGAAAACGGATGCATATACTGGTCTCCTGCCACTTCTACAAGGCCCAATCCATAATAGGACAGAGAACCAGAATAAATGGAAACAGTTTATAAAATACCAAATGAGTTTAAAAACAGAAAATGTAAAATAAAATGAACGATTTTTTTATACTATTTCACAGTAAAAGTAAATCGAGCTCGCTTTGACGCTTTGCCATTTTCATATTATTATGTCCTAGCTTAAAAACTGTCAGGACTGCAATGTTCTATAAAATTCTTATTTTTGACCCTTGTAATTGCAAGAAGTACTATAAAATTCCAGCCTAAACTTATATCAAATGCATTATCTTCAGTCAAAAATATGTAAAACATAGCAATATGGATATTTTTGATCACAGAAATTACAAACAGTTTCATGTTAAAAACATAAATCTCATTTTTTTTTATATCCGAACGGCGTATTCACCCGAAATAGCTACACTTTTAAATTTTACTTTTATCAATACTTACTTAATCATGTTGCGAACGGGAATCCGCATTGATGATCCAGGTAGGAGGACATTATCTTCGACCAACAAAAGTGGAAGCTTTCGCGGAATCGATATTGAATTTGACATTTTGCTAGTTTGTTTACCTTTTTTCTAGAAGTTTAGGGAAAAATCAAAGGTTATCCGTGCATAATTACAAGGCTAAATTCCGGGCTCCAATTTTACGGCATAATCTGCCAATCAAAAATGTAACTTACTTTTAAAATTGCTCTGCGTATAATAAGATTTCATTTTAATATTTTATCCTCAAATCATTAAATCATATATAGTTATAATTTATTTTCTAAAAAAACAAATGAAATAAAATGTAAGTTTAATGTTTCATGTCTTTAGTGTGACGATACCACGTGACGTTTAGGATACGTAACACGTGTTGCCCGATTCATGCATGTTTTTTATCGAAAATATATGGGTTTTTTTACAAAAATAAACGGCACAGATCAACTGAAATTGTACAAGATATCCACGGAATATCAAAATTAAGATGGTTCCTGAAAACATTCGACATTGCAATTTGTACCGAACTAGTGATTTTTTGTTTTGACTTAAAGTCATATAAATCCGTGAGTCATATTAAGGTGGTAATTAATACCGAACACACTGTTTTTACTCTGTTCAAAAATCATATTTCAACGTCTATAATTATACACATTATAAGTAATTAAAGCACTTTTTCCAAGATAAAATTACTGAAATACTAAGTTTGAAAAACATAGAATTGTTTCTCAGAAAAAAATATAACTTAAGGTCGCTGTTAAATATCTCGTACTTAACTAAAAATCATCTCTAGAGATATCTATCTTCCATATAGTCAAACCCCTGCTGGGGACCTAAACTTGACGCGCATCAACTGACAAGAATGTTAGTAAAAGAGCTGAAATAAAAGAATATAAAGTAATGGAAATGAGTATATTGTTAAAAACAGAATAGATATTTTAGGGAGACGTATGTTCAATCCGGCTTACAGCCAGACTGAACTCGGGGCCAGACAAGTTTATGATATCAGGTGGTAAAGCATTCCAGTAGACTATTGTTCTTGGGAAAAATGAATATTTATAGTAATCAGTTTTAGTTTGGACTTGTTGGAACGCATGGAGATGGGATGTTCTAGATGATCTTGTAAGAGGGATGATATACTTTGGGAAAGGGATATAGCCACCTGGTCATGCAAGATGTTGTGAAACATGACCAGGCGTTAATCAATACGCCGAAGGTCAAGGCGCCTCCATTGAAGGGAAGACAACATGTCAGTGACACTTTACATACGGCCGAAGTCATGTTTGACCCACCTAGCAGCCCTTATCTGGACGGATTCTATCTGGTCAATGAGAGTTCCTGTGTAGAGGGACCAGACCGTGGAGCTGTACTCAAGCTGGGGCCTGACAAGTGTCTTGTACGCGGTCATGTTGCAGTAATCTAGAATGAGAAGCGACAGTCAGAGATAGATAGATGGCCGTGTCATCAGCAAATAGGCGGACTTTAGAGGATTGGACATATTCAGGAAGGTCATTGATGTATATAAGAAATAAGAGAGGACCGAGGACCGAGCCCTGGGGAACACCGGAGGAGACTGGTATGGAGCTGTATGTTGAGCCATTTACCACCACGGACTGTGACCTGTTATCAAGAAAACCTTTGATCCATTTAAGAGTTTGACCCCTAATACCGTAGAAATGCAGCTTATACAGAAGTTTTTCATGGTTGGCCATATCAAAGGCCTTAGAGAAGTCAAGAAGGATTAAGTCTACTTAATATAGAGATATTGATAGACCCTGGTCTCTGTTATCTCTTACAAAATTACTTGTAAAATTTACAGATACATTTTAAGAAAAAAAAGTAAATCACTAAAAAAGAATAATACGCAAAATAACCTCATATCGTTTTCCTTGTCTTTTATGATTGTATAATTAGAGATTAAACATGTATACTACATAGCCACAAGCAAGTAGAACCATGAGAGTACCAAAGCTATGAAAAAATAACTGTTCTCGAATGTCCCAAAAACGAAACCGTGAGTAGCTTAAATTTTTTATTCATGCATTCACGGGTACCCTGCACCTTACCTCGTCGAAATCAGTTGGGTAACCACAGCGATGTTGATAAACACACACGCACGCACGCGACAACAACAACGACAAAAACGCAATACATGAATCGGGCAAAAATGCACGCGTTCCGTATCCGAAAGGTCACGTGGTATCGCCACGCGGACATTAAACCTCTTTAAGCCACAGTTATAATTGGTCACAGTTAACTCCGATTCATATAAAAATGTTCATGATGTAATATGGAGATGATTATGGGCAGGTCTATTCATTTTATCTGAAATTATTAATTTAATCTAAATGTAAACAGCAAAAAACAATAAGACTATTACTGGACAGTCTCTAGTGCACGTGCCAAGATACTTGATCACGTGACTGTAACTTTAACCCGCCAAGTCGTAACAATTATAAAGACCGGATGAATTGCTCACACGTACATACATGTACTCAGATTGCTTGTTCAGGTCGCCTATCTATATTTTCATGATGTGCCCCCTGTAACCAGACAAGATTCAAATTTAACTTGGATAGCTTTGACAAATTAATGCGCCACTTGTCGGTACATGGACGGAACATGATTTTCTTTAGTCTATCTGTGGCGAGCAGTTTGCAAAGTTATGTAAATAAATAAATGGCCTTGACTTTTTCATTTATTGTATCACAAGATCATGAGATAATGAAAAACTAATTTGTTGTGAAAGGAAAACGGAAGTCATGGCTTCAGCACGGCTTCCCGTGGAGGTATAATTTTATTTTCTGCTATATTCTACACGTAAATTAATGTCACTTTGTCAGCTCTTTTTCCCCTAAAAAAACATTGAACGCTTGGCTAGATCTATAGATAAGACTCCAGGATCTAAAATGAATGCTCATCATGTAATACTGTGATGAACATACCTATAGGGTGATAAACAGATAAACTTAGGCGATCTCTTCCAGGTGATTATAAATATGATAAGTTTAAGAATGGGATCAACAAATAACCCATTCACGAATTCGAAAACCTAGGTAAACGCCGTTTTCCGGTACTTTCTGTACATAGCTCTGGGGAATTCACCTAATGGAGTGTAATAGCGAACTCGTTGTTTTCGGCCTTTTTTCAATTTAAATTGAAATAAAACAGTTATTTCTTTATAAGAAAATAATTAAATATCATTGTATGAATAATTCCATACAAAAAATAAAGTAAATACACATGTTTATGCAAAAAATAACCTTATTTATTATGGAAGATTCCACTACGTCTGTTTGAATTTTATTGATTTTCATTATAAATATTTTTTTTTTAATACTTTGCATTAGATATGAAAGGAATATTGATAATTTTCAAAAACATCAATTTTTTTCACCTTAAACGGTTAAATAATGATAGAAAAATAGAAATATCACGTAACTGTGTTATGTACTTCATTTGGTGTAATTCCCCAGAGCTAAAACGGTAACATACCGGAAAACGGTGTTTAGCTAGGTTTTCGAAAAGGTCAATTACCAGATATAGGCCTACACACCTTTTAACGCCTTTTCCACCCCCATCCCCTTTTTGTTGTCTCAAATGGAGAAAAATGCCTTGTTTTTGTTTGAGAAATGTTGTTGAAAAAAGTGACCACTTTTTCGGCGCGCCCCCCCCCCCCAACCAAAAGATAGCCTACATCAGCCTGATCAGGGGGTTGTTAGAAGGGGGATGTGCCCCCTTCTGTTTGGGGGGTTTGAGAAGAAAATTTTGGACTTGCGAGAGGCTAAAAATGACCCCAGATCAATCATAAGGTAACCTGTAACCAATGCTGAAAAGCATTTGACTCTATCTCAATCCATTGAGAAGTTGCAGCACTTTGAAATCAATTTTGATGGAAAAAATCAACGCAAAATAGTGATTTTTGGCAATTTTGAGATATCCCCTCGATGCCATGGTAACAGGAAATTTAAGCATGGGCATGTTGTTACAAAGGCAATGGTCCAGTCAACATTTGTGCCAAGTTTGGTTAGTATTGAAGCAGTTTTTTATAGTTTTATAGCAATTTGAACTTGTAACAGGAGACTTTTAAATGAAAACAGCCATTTTTCACAAAATGCTCATGAAGTAATGCCATTACGGGATAATGAAATGTACAATTAATCTTGATTTTTAGGCATTTGAAGCGCCAATCATTAATACCAATCATTTCAAAAAGACGGTATTCCTAAATTGTTACTAACCAGTTAAAAATTATTTTGTGTCCTAAACAACTATATACATGTAAATTAATTTGAAAAAGATAGTCTCATCATAGAGTCCATATTAGAAGAATCTTACAACGGCTACCAGCATATTACCGGTACAGACCGAAATATCTAGCTGGATGGTAACTGTTTACAGTGGTAACAAGACTGTTGAGTTTCTAGATATTCCCATCTGTGACTACAGCCAGTGTGTGATTCTTTTCTTGCATTCTTGCTTGCGTAATTATGACTGCCCTTTGTGTCACACTTTAGTCACAAATTTTGCATGCAAATTGGTATGTTCAAAACTACTTAAGGAAATGGGTTGAAATTTCACATTGAATTTGAATATTGACTTTCAATGTCTTTTTGGATTTAATTGCCAAACAATATCAACATTTATAAAGTTGCCAGACGACAATTATTAAGGCTTCATGTATATACTGAGGGGCTGTCATGATAGCGTTAAAGGATTATTATTTTTCTATTTTGCAGGTTGTGAGTCATATCATGCGTTTTCTGTCTGTATCAGACAGGAAAGATGCAGCCTTAGTTTGTCGCAGTTGGTACGAGGCTTCACTAGATCCTATTCTTCAGCGTGACATCATTATCCATTTCTATGCTTCTTCCTCCGAGCAGACAACAAGAGCAATACCTAGCCTGTCACGCAGAAGGCTTCCTCATCTGGTTTTAAACAATTTTGATTCATCTCTTGATGCAAAGGCTGTGCTTCTAAAATCCTGTGAGCATCTGTCAGCCAACCTGAGAAGTTTATCTCTTAGAGGAAGCAATATAACAGAGAGGACATTTGTTGAACTGTTGTCAAAATGTACGAATCTGGTAACACTAGATCTGAGTTGCTGTAATTCTTTGTTTATGTCAGGATCGTTGTTGGAGAAAAACACAGATATGCAGCTTTTAAAGGCGTCATTGATCAATGTCTTAGATGTAAATTTGTCTTCCATTAGATACATGTCTGATGCAACATTTAACAGGATAATGACTGTGTGTGAAAATGTTGAGAAGCTAGCACTTGCAGGTACTCAAATGGCATTTAGTAGTGATGTTTACTATCCAAATAAGTCAAGTCGTATTGCCAGTAGTTCTGTGCTGACGTTTAAAAACTTTCTAGACTTTATCGTCACTCAACAGTGTCTAACGTCATTGAACTTGTCCAAAACACAAATTGAAGATGAGCATTTAGAAGAGATTGTAGCGGTGTCTGGTCTAGAGTTGCAGGAGCTCATTCTGACTGGCTGTAGAAATATAAGTGATGAGGGCATCGCCAGCATTTGTAAACATCAGGCACAGTTGAAGAGTCTTGATGTTCGTGAATGTGCTGATCTTACCAACTCGTCTCTTATGACGGTTTCTACAAGGTTAAAGCAGCTCCAAAATCTTTATGTAAACAAATGTAAGCAGATAACCGACAAATCTGTGACAAGTATGAGTCAGCTAAACCAGCTTGAAGTGTTAGATATTTCTGAATGTTTCCAAATCACCTCCGTAGGGCTTATTAAGGGGATTTGTCGGGAAGGTGAAACAACGGTTTTGACACATTTGAACTTGAACTGTTGCTCACTTGTCGGAGATTCATTCGTTGAAAAGGCGTGTGAATGTTTACCACTGTTGACACACCTTGACCTTGGCTCTTGCTTCAAGATTACCGACCACAGTGTCCACTCAATATCCTCTAGTCTGAAATACCTGAGATTCTTGCGTCTGGCTTGGTGTAAAGAAGTTACAGATTTAGGGTTGCTAGGTCTTCTTACAGAGGGAAACCAGCATAAGCATGATGAGACTGATGGAGAATGTAGATGTACCAGAAAATTCCCATCAACAGTCATCTTCAAAAAACCTACTGATAAAAAGAAAGAATCAAGCGTTGATGAAATACGTAAAAATTCGTTGAATTCCCAAAAGAATCCTGTTGCCATCAGCAACCTTGTTGGGTTGAAATATTTGGATCTTACAGCTTGTAAGAAATTAACTGACACAAGTTTAATGCAAGCAGTGAAATTCCCAGAGATCCGAGTTCTCTCTCTAGGAATATTGCCGGACTTGACCCCCGAGGGTGTTGCACAGATTGTCCGAAACAACCCAAGTATTGAGGAGTTAAATTTGTCACAGTGTGGGTCTTTGACAGACAGTGCCATGGCAACCATAACAACTCGCCTTCCGAGACTTCAGATGTTGAATGTATTTGGATGTGATAAGCTCACTGATAAGAGTGTCGATTACATGAAAGATAACTGTAAGAGATTGAAAGTTTTAGATGTGTCATTCTGTGGAGGACTTTCACATGAAGCTATTGAAAACCTAGAGAACAAGTGTAAAACACTTCAAACTGTTCAAAAAAGAATGATTGGTGCATCCTAAAGTTTAAACTTTCACCAAAAATTTAACATTTTTGTAGTGGGACGACATGTTTTGGCTTTGCTTTGGTTAATTTATTTCATTTGTGCTGTAAGGCCTATTTGATTTATTTAATTTGCAAAGAAGTCATTAGCTGGATCAAAACTATTTATCAGATGATTGACCAGTTGAACATTGAAATAATGTTTAAACAGAACTAGGTTTGAACTTTTACTATATTATAATCAAGATCTTTTGAAAGTAACAAAAGTGTGATAAAAAAAAAGAAAATGTACATCAAGAGATATTTGTTTTAAATTTGATATACAGGTAATACCACATTTTAATAATCTGAATACAGAAATATTTGTATCCTAGCGATTTTCATGATATTCATGTTGTGCATGTATTTGGGCATTTGATCAAAATTTAAGTTTGTTCATTCTTGAAAATTTTCGTTTAGTTCTTTATTGTCTACCTCATAGATCTGTATTGTGTTTATATTTAGCTCTCATATATCACTGAAAGATAGTGGGAGGGGGGGGAATATATGGAAGGTATAATTAACAAAGATAAAGAATTTACTTTGTATGATTCTATAGATCTATACAATAATTATACATTGCTAAATGAAATATAAGTCATAAAGGGTAGTGAAAATAAGTAAAAATTGGAAACCTTTTGGTCAACCCACACTAGTAAATTTCAAATGCCCATCTCATAATTATTTTTTTGAGCAACAATCATTTCAGACCAATTTATTATTACTTGGTTGATTTTTAACAGTTGATAGCTGGTGGCTGGATCATCAATGTAGAGATAGAAAACCTTTTGCATCTATGCAAGGAAATTTCACGCTGTTTTGTGCTCATTTTTAGAATTTTGATAATGAAATCCTTTATCAAACTTATCATTATTTAAACAGAGGGTAAATTGTAAATTCACAATTTATTAAAGTGAATAAAGAAACCATATGTCTTGTAACCAAATTATCTGCATTTCTTGAAGTTTCACAGCAATGGCTTTGAAACCTGTGTATGATATAAAAAAAACTAAGAGAGGTAACTCATTCTGTTTTGTTCCTTGACAAAATTATATGTGAAGGTTAACTTTGTAATCAAGTAACCAAGTTTGTTCAAATAAAAGCCCTGGGGTCAAAATTGGCCCCGCCCTGGGGGGTAATTGATTTTCCCTATATGCATATAGTTTAAACTTAAAAAATCTTCTTTTAAAGAACCGTAAGAGCTAGATCTTAGATATTTGGCATAAAACATCTTCTAGTAAATGTCTACCAAGTTTGTTCAAATAAAAGCCCTGGGGTCAAAATTGGCCCCGCCCCAGGGGGTCATTGATTTTCCCTATATGCATATAGTAAAAACTTAAAAAATCTTCTTTTAAAGAACTGTAAGAGCTAAAGCTTATATATTTGGCATGAAACATCTTCTAGTGAATGTCTACCAAGTTTGTTCAAATAAAACCCCTGGGGTCCAAATTGGCCCCTCCCCAGGGGTCATTGATTTTCCTTATATGCATATAGTAAAAACTTATAAAATCTTCTTTTAAAGAACTCAAAGAGCTAGAGCTAAGATATTCAGCATGAGACATGTTCTAATGGGTGTCTACCAAGTATGTTCAAATAAAAGCCCTGGGGTCAAAACTGGCCCCGCCACGGGGGTCATTGATTTTCCTTATATACATAGCAAAAACTTAAAAATCTTCTTTGAAAAAACCCAAATAACTAGAGTTTAGATATTAAGCATGAAACATCTTTAAGTAAATATCTACAAAGTTTGTTCAAATAAAAGCCCAGGGGTCAAAACTGGCCCTGCCCGAGGGGTGTCATTGTTTTTTACTCTATGTGTATAGTAAAAACTTAAAAAATCTTCTTTTAAAAAACCCAATGAGCTAGAACTTAGATGTTTTGCATGAAACATCTTCTTATGGGTGTCTACCAAGTCTGTTCAAATAAACAAATAAAAGCCCTTGGGTAAAAATTGGGCCGGGGGGGGGGGGCTATATACAGGTGAGCGACCTCAGGGCCATCATGGCCCTCTTGTTTTTTTGTGGTCATTTTCATGTTATGAACTTTTCATTGCTATTTATGCCCTCTTTGCATATGTACTTTTCTGATTCCTGAAATAATGCCAGTTTCAATCAATCTTCCACTTGAGTGGCCCGATCTCCCTACTTTCTGTGTTGGATCTAGACCAGCCTGCGCATCCATGCAGTCTGATCAGGATCCATGCTGTTCGCTATCAGTTTCTCTACTTGCTACAGGGTTTGTAAGCAAACAGCATGGATCCTGATCAGACTGTGCGGCTGTGCAGGCTGGTCTGGATCCATGCTGGTCGCAAAACCATATTTTGGTTTTGTCGTGACACAGCTCATATATTATAAGGATTTTGTATTTATATGCTTATATAGACAGGGTACGTATATTTGCTATATGGAGAATATTATAAGATTGTATGCAAGCCAGGTTTTCTGATACCAAGATCAATGCCTTATATACCTAAAAGGTGATTAATTGCCATCTTTTATGGTTATTAACATTTTTACATGGATGTATAAATGCTGTATTGAAATGAATTAAAAGCCATTTTTCCATATATACCTGTTACAGTCAGGTTACAAATTTCCACATGTTGTACAAGTATAATTAGTTACTAACAAAAGCCTGTATTTATCACTCACCTTTAGGTAACAGCTTGAAAAGTGGTTATAACTCATAAATGATATCACAGGAATAGTCGAGTATAAACCTGATTTGGTTTGTTTTTCAAATTTCAGGAATTTCTAATCCAAAGTCCCATGACAATGTTTTTTTATAATAGAAACGACTCAAAATATTTTTGTACCCTGTATTTTTGACAATTATATGCTGATAGTCATTTCTTCATTTAAAATTTGATTATACATTTTCTGTACGATGTCAATTTTAAATGTTTTATATGATGTTACGTAACATTCCACAGAATTTCCATCATTCAGATTTTATAATAAAAGCAAACAAGATCATTATCTAATGTCACATTCCATTGGTCTTCCATATCATGGCATCACAATGAATGCATGAGAAAATCTGATAAAATTGAATGTTAATTGAATTCTTCCATCTTACATAATTTTTCATTTTGACATAAAATTTAAAAATTATTGAGACTTTGAGCTGATACAATGAACTTTTATTTGAATGAAAATTTATTTCATATAGCAATTGTGTTATTTTGTGATTGAATTAATGAAAGCACTGTTGCATTGTTTATGGTATTTTAAATATAGTTTGTTAAACATTTTAAAAGGATTAACAAATTCATTATAACATCTGACTCTTTTTCAATGAAAATTTAATGTTTTGTTGATTGAAGTAAAAGAATGATAGTTTGGGTTTATTTTTGGTCAAAGTTGTTTGTGTGGTTTTACGGCGGACCAAAACAATTCAGGTGATATGGCACCAAAACAGGAAAGATGATTTTGGCCTCGGGTGTGACAAACTTTTAGTAACACCAGGTGTCAAAACCATCCCACCTGCTGGAGCTAAGAGATACATAGACTCAGGTAATTTGAACCCGGTAGCTGCAATTCCAATGCTTCTACCCTTAAAGGCAACCCTTCAGCTACAAGGGGTCAAAGGCATGGTAAAGATGTAATTCAATTATTTATTATAAAACTGACAAATAATACTATAGTATGTATGTTGACAGCAGTCAACAATTATGTTATTAGAGTTGTTTCTTAATTATACATGTATTATATTCAGATTTTATTGGTAGATCTTCAGATATGATATCTTATAACATATGATATGTTACTTTGTTATTATTATTTTATTGATGTTGTTATTAATGATTCTGTTGTTATATTTTAATTACTGTTACAAGTTTCATCATCTGTGATACACTGATTTCCAATAAATCATTCTCAAAGGTGTTAGCATTGTTCATTTTACATGAATTCCCAGAGGGAGATGTTAGAGTCACTAACTTTCTGTCTGTCAGTCTCTTGTCTGGAGAATAAATTGTAAATAATTGCAGGAATTTGATTTTAACTACAGGAAAGTAAAAGAGACCAGTGAGGGGAAGTGCAGTGTCCAAGAACATTCACTTTACCTTGCTTAATTTTGGATCTGCCTTCAGTTACTTTTAATGCTCGTCTGGGGTATAACTTCAACAGTTAAACTATCTACAACATCTCATTGAACATGTAACTAGGGACTGTCAGGGCCAAGTAGAGGAACCATGACCTTGACTTGCATCAAATGCATGGTTACTATAAAAAAAAGTGTTACTAGAATATAGAAACATTAACAAATACCTTCTCATATTCTCAATGAGTCCAATTATTTTAAAAGTATCTGTGGATGTATGACAAAAATATGACTAGACTCAAACATCAATGAAATATTTTGACATTATAGCCATTATATTTTAAACTGTTGACCTAGCCTTTGAATGTGACAAGTTTTCCTAATGTGAAACGCAGAAGTATGCCAATGCATTAATGTACTTTTATGTATAGACTGCAATTAATTAATTTGTATATAATTCTAACCCAAACAAAGGTTACATTTTATTTACTGAACAGGTAGAACAGCCTTACATGTATAATTTGCTGGTGTTAGAACAAAGACTGATGATGAATTCTTTCAAGATTTACCCTCCGAGGGAGATAATAATATTCATTAACACAGTAACTGAAACACAATGTTCAGCTCCTGAAGAAAAGGTACAGACAGTTTTTCTGGCTCAGCTGTACTGGTCATTTTGCAGGCCAACATATTGTGGGCTAGGGCATTTGCTATATTCTATGGCCACCCTTCATAAAGGTATAGACAGACATCTATGTAATATCAGTTTTTATCACATACTCATGCTGATTTCGACTGTAAAAACGGTATTGCACGGCTGTGCATATATTTTGAAGTGACATCATTTGCATTAAACAAGCATAGTTTGACGTGCTAAATGTTAGCGTTACAGTATAGGTGTGTTATTGAAAAATGATTCTTTTTCACTTTAAACACTTTTTATGTTGGATATGATTGTGATAAATAGAATATTATAATTGTGTAATTTCAATACTGAATTTACTGAACTCGTCGAATAAAGTAATATGCTCGCCAGAGGCTCCCATAATTTAATTTTATTCAACTCGGTCAATAAATTCAGTATTGTATTTTCAAAATTCAGTATTGAATTTACACTCATTCAATATCCTCTATGTAAAAAATAAGTCGGTCTTGCTGTCCAACTATTAAGACTAGTCATTTTGTAGAAATTAAGCTATGTTGCGGGTAAGCACCATTCTTACTTCAGCTGATTATTTGTTAGCATTTATTTAAACATGAACAGGCACTTTTTTTTTAAGCATTGAACTGTTGCCAGCCCTTCTAATTTAATTGTGCGAAAAGGACTCTTCGTATATATAGATACTGTACTGTTTATGCCTTCCCATTTTTATATTGATTTTTTTTTTTTTTTTTTTGAAGGGGGGGGGGGGGGGGGGGAACATAAAAAAACAGTATTTCAACAAAGCATGCTAAATACAATAGAATATTTATTGACATATATATATTGCTCAATGACATCATTTCAACAAGTAGTGGTTATGTTAAGATTTTAATCCTGTATGATGCAATATGAAGTAACAATTTTCAAAAACAAATTTTCAGCACATTACAAATTAACCTTTTATAGAGGAATATCCACCAGTAAGTCATAAAACACTAGGGGAAAAATGGTTAAAATGTGAGCACTGAGCACTTTTAAAAAATTATTAAAACAAAAGTTTTTTAGCATATTTCTTGGGAAGTGTTTTCTGCAGAAAATCTTGACAGGTAATGGATAAACGCCATAATTTTGGTTAACTCTTTCAATTAAGGAATTTTCTAATGACATTAAAAACTTGAGCTAAATAAAGACTAAAGGACACATTACATAAGAAAAATTGTCTATGAACTAAATTCTATAACAAATATTGATAAAAAAAATAAATTAAAATGACTAAAACTATTTTTGTTAAAGTGCAATACAGACTTCCAACATAAAATTTTTAACATCTGGGGTAATAAAACAATGACATAAATGATCTTTCACTCAATAACACTAGACTTTTAAAAAAAAGAACAAAAGTATAAGGTGTCCAGAGTATAAATGAGTAAAATCTGAAAATTCCTGTTGAAATGTACACATGATAAAAGCTGAAACACCTGATGATACATTGTATAAACTAAATAAAATTCTCTTGGCCTACATGTAGTTGGTTGGGTTAAACACCCGTTTTCATATCACATAATTTAGGACAATTACCTATTGAATGTTCCAGGATAAAGTACCAGTACTAACCATTTTTTTCTGTGTTTATTTTGCAAGTGCCAAATTAAACTACATAGATCAGTCAATCTGTAACAGTGTAGAAATTGAAATTTAAGGACAAATATCATCAGATAATCTGTCTTCAACCCAATCATCACCAGAAAACATGTGCTGCAGTATGAATACAGACTTGCAGATCTGGAGACTAGCAAAGACCTTTAAACTTCATAAAGAGTGATTGAGATTCTTGTAATAAAATAAAAGCATTTAGCCAATGTACAGCTAGTTTAAGCAGAAAAAAATACTTCTGTGAGCATTGAAAATAAAACAAAGAAATGAAAACAAAAAACATCAAATGATATGAAAATGTTATCTAAAGCTGATGAGCTGCCTCCATATATAAAATATCTTCTCTTTTTTTTACCAATTCTTCTCAACAACCATGGCAGAAACACATGCAAGATGTCAATTAAGTTTTTCACAAAATAACTAAATAATTCTTAGAAATGAAACTAAAACAATGATTAAAATAAATTTACATCTTTAGTCTTTTCTCCAATTTTCAAAAATCTAAAATGCATATACTTTTTAAAAGTTTTCAATAAAATAACTCGACTATTGTATTTGAAACTAAATCTTCAAAGGAATTACATGTATGGGTCTTTTCTCTGTAATTCTTTAATAATGGAATAAAAATACTTTTTTATGTTTATATATCAAGATTTTAAATAACTTATCAGCTCTGGAAAATCTGCTCTGATTGAATTCAAACTAATCACAAGCTGGAGGAAAAGACTGTTGATACACAATCATAAAACAGATATGTGAAAATATAAAAGTCCAAACTAGCATGCAGTACCACTAAAATAAAGAATAAGTTCAGTAACAAACAAAAATAAAAAATAAAGACATAAACACACGAACTTTCAACAAACAAAGTATGCACATTCATGAAACCAATGTAATTTACCACTTTTTGTCCTAAACACAAACACACAGCACACTCTTAAAAGTACAAATCTTTATTACATAAAACACATTCCAGAAAACATACAAAGTACAACGCTCAAGTTGTCACAATGACACTTTAATGGCATTCTATCCTTAGCTATTATTGGCTGCAAACCTTTCTTGGCTATAAACACAAGCAATGATATCCCAATAGAAAAACTTTTTCTATCAGTCAAATTCTTAATGTTCCATTAGTTCACTTCAGCATCAAAAATAATCTGATACTTTGAATTGTTTCATACTTTAGAAGCTTAAGCTATTTTTCAAACAAAATATCTTGTTTGAAGCCCTTTATTTCTTAAGTTAACATTACCACATAAACAAAATCGATTCCTAACATAACACTAGGTTTTTATCCCATTATATCCAAAACACCCAAACATTCAAAAGTAAAAGTTCAGCAATCAATGCTATGAATATCATCCTATACAAAGACCCAGCATTCTGTTTACAGACAAAAAAGTTTAGAAATTAAAATCTAATTATATAACATACAAATGTAAATTTTTATTTCCAACAGAACAGATATGATCAAAATTTAACAATACATAGAGATAGAGAAAAGTAATATAAAATTTAACAATAACTGTATTTGAGACGTGTCACAACAAAACCAACAAAGTGCGTTTGCGACCAGCATGGATCCAGACCAGCTTGGGCATCCACGCAGACTGATCAGGAGCTGTTCGCTATCTGTCTCTACTTGTAATAGAGTTGGTAAGCGAACAGCATGGATCCTGATCAGACCTTGAGGATGCGCAGGCTGGTCTGGATCAATGCTGGTCGCAAACGCATTACATTGGTTTTATCATGACGTGGCTCATTTAACAATAACTGTATTTCTCCTGAGAATTCACCAATTGTGTATTGCTTATTGATAAAGTAGATTTAACATATATTTATAAAGGTAAATAAGGTCGTAAAATTGCTTTTTTATTTAAGTGAATGTTCCTTACATAGCCTACCAGAACAAATGTTACATTACTTCGGAAGATGACATTGTTCAATTGCTCGTCTAGTTTAAGCAATGATTGGTCTCTAATATGGCCCCAGAGAAAATAAAATCTTCTTAAATGTTCAAATGACATTTATAAATCTGACAGAGGTGTCTCAAAATAAAATCACTGTTCACAATGTAAGATACAGACATATTGCAAGTAATAATTCACACCAACAATTTCCCCCCTGAGTAATAGCAAAAAAATCCCACCAGGTAGGTGTGGAGATATAATAAATTATAGTGGAGATAAGTAGATATTAAACATTGAGTAAGAATGTACCTAACAATGAGTTTTAAGTATGTTACTTATAATGGAGAATAAGGACTTGCTATTGAATAAAAGAAGTATTTAACATTGAGTAAGAAATATTTAACATTGGGTGAAGAAGGACTTAACATTGAGTAAGGAAGTATTCAACAGTGAGTAAGGAAGAAGTAAAGAAATATTTAACATTGAGTAAGGAAGTATTTAACATTGGGTGAAGGAGGATTAAACATTTTGAGTAACATTGAGTAAAGAATTATTTAACACTGAGTAAGGAAGTTACTTAACATTGGGTGAGGATATTAAAATTATTTGACTTTGTGTGTATGTTGATTACAGACATTGTCATATCTCAGTGGATAGTCCATCTAACAGGATTTCCAGAATAACTAACCAGAAATGGCCAACTTCAAACAACTGACTAACAATACCAATCCCTGGGAAATATTTTCTGAATCAGCTGTTAGAGACAAATGATCATTTGACACTGTCATGACAAATTCCACTGAGAGATTTGCACTGCAGGATAACCCAAACCCAATGGACAATAAGGGAAAACATGACTATGCGAATTCAAAAAGGGAAAAATTCCTGAGAGGAAAACTGTGAAGGCTGGTCTGGATCCTTGCTGGTCGCAAACCCATTATGTTGGTTTTGTCATAACGCGGCTCATTTGACACATGTCCTAGATCAATTCCCACTGAGAGATTTAACCTTGCAAGAGAATCGAACCAGAGACCCAATGGTTACATATCCAATGCTGGCCCTTCTGAGCTAACCACATGTACCTCAAAAATGGTTGAGAAAGTATTACACATAAAGTGATGAAATATTTTACATTGAGAGAGAAATATTTTACACTTAGTGAAGAAGTAAATATCATTGGGCAAGGAAGTACAGTATTTGGTGTGGAAGTACGGTATTTGGCGTTGAGTATATAAGTGTTTTACATTGAGTGAGGAAGTATTCAACATTAAGTAATTATTTAAAATTGAGTGATTAACTTTCATTTCTTTACAGTGAAAGGAAGATATACCAATTTTGTTAAAGTTTAAGAAACAAGTAGAAACATTTTAGGATCTTTAGTATAACAGTTTTTAAAGAACAATAAATACAGATAAAATGTAATTTTAAATATGAATTTATAGTATATCATTCTTTACAATGAAATACTTCTATTCAACTGTAATAAAGAAAAGAAAAAAAACAAAAAACTTTTCAATTAAAACCGCAAAAAAGAAATCTTGAAAAAAATTTAGAACTAAGTTTAACTTTTTTCTTTTCAAAAATAAGATATTCAACTTTACAAACATATTTTATGTTAATAAATAATGACATTTATCCATAAATCAAATCCTTTACTTTCCTACAAGTAACAATTATTAATAAATAGATCAATCAAAACGAAAACATGCATACATAGAACACAATAACAACACATCTACCGGGTAAGCTTTACGACTAAAATGCATAATGTAAAACCATTGTATCTTCTCTATATAATTAAATTAATTTCCTTGAAAATTGTAAAACAGTAATTTCTCTGGAAAGCTTATTTCTTACAGGATAAAAATACACCATGACAAACTGACACAAAAATGATTCATTCCATACAATACATAATAATTGTACATAAAACCTGGAAACAATTTCATGCAATATTATGTGACTGATGCAATAGTAATTAATATATGTAACATTACTTCAAATAAAAAATCTGTTGTAGTCTAATGAATAGGAATGTTGTTAAGATATGCTGTTTAAATTGAGGAATAATACATGCAGTAACTTTTACTATGTTGATTTACATTCTGATGTATAAACATGGCTAGACTGGCTCCAAAAAAAGTATAAAAGTTTATAGAAAACCAGTCTTTTATATGAAATACTATCATTGGTTAGGATGTGCATACAAGTTAAATTAGAAAATCAGATGCCTTTAAGGCTGATTACATTTTTTTACTTCCTTTTGATGATATTGCAATATCAAAGTAGTTGTAGTCAAATATTAACAATGACATGTGCATGTTACTTGTAAATAATAAAGGAGCTCCATTGAGGTCCAAAAGTCTAAAAATATTCAATCTGAAAATCCTAAAGAAATCAAATGGCGCATTTAAAATGTAAAATGTGGAATAGAAAATGTAAAAAATATACTCTGAATTAACTTGAAAGTACTTTTTTTGTGAGTTCTTCCTGAAATTTGAGTTAAAAGCATTTAAATTCTTCTTTATTTTAATTCATTTTGCACAATAAATATGATTTTCTGTGAAATCTGAGATAGCAAATGACCTACATCCATCGGAACACAAATCTTGAAAGAAAAAAAAAATCTGTCACTTCATGTAAAAAAAACCCTTCAGTTGAGTTCCTTAAATAATTAAAGATATTCTATAACAAATTTTGAACACATTTCTGCTACTGAAATTTACAAGATTGATTATCTCTTTGATGAGGTGTTTACAGTCATTAACAAATCTATCAATAGTTAAAAATTATTTCCAAACAAAATAAGTAACTTAGTAACAGTCAGATCTTCAAATTACAGATCCTTAAATTTTACATAATGTAGACTGTCCGTGTTTAACGATAATCTAGTCCCCGATCTCAGCAACTATTGCACCGATCAATTTCTGCATATCTTTGGCACGTTTTTGACCAGTTTCCAAGACTTCCTCGTGATTGGCCACCTGTGATGAGTCATACTCCATCACACATTTGTTAGTAATCAGTGTGATACCACAAACTTCCATTCCACAGTGGTTAGCAACCAATACTTCCGGTACTGTGCTCATTCCTGAAGAATAATCGCTAATGTAAAGATTTAGTTTCCTGACTGCAGACTGGTAAATAGCAACTCAAAATGGTCACTATAACACAAACTGTATACTTACCATTTATAAAAGTAGGCATAAGTCACATCCAAGTAAAAGTCTCACTTATAAATCTCGTCTTTTAAAATTCTAGTCTTTTAAAGTGTAGAAAATTTATTTCCTACATTTTAATAATGATAGATTTGTTTGTTTGGGTTTTACGTCACAATATCACATTATAGGTCATATGGTGATGTTCCTGCTTTAATATTGAAGAAGGCCACAAGTGCCCTTCCAGGCATTATTTCAGGCATGAACGGGCACCCGAGTAGAACCACCAACATTCTGTAAGCAAGCTGGATACCTTCCTCACATGAAAGAATCAAAAATCACTGTCGGGATTTGAACCCACAGTGGAGATGGACAAGTGGTTTGATAATAATGATAGAACAAAATGACTTTGTTTTATAAAACAAAACAAAATTTTCAAGGACACATTCATAATATATACTGGTATACTGGTATATATATATATCTTTTGAAAAACATTAAAAAATTTCTTGACATCATAAGGTTTATGACAGTCTGCGCCAAGTATGTAAAGGTAGCATTCATCAAATTTCGATAACTTGGTATTTTTAACTCCGGAGGTATTTGGTTTTTTTTTCGCATAGACACGCATAGTGTATTGACTTCCTTAGCTGGATTATTCTATAGTTGATTGAGTAACAGACTTTGTCAAAAATATTTTGGGACAACCCTCGTATTAATGGGCCATCATAAGTTGCTATGCTGTGAAACACTAGATTAATACCTGTAGCATCAACACCGGCAACTTTTAGGAACCTGCATTCAGTGACTGTCTCAAAAGATGGTCCGCCAAGGAAACAATAGACTCCATCTCGTAAAAAGTCATTCATTCCTAGTCTGCCTGCTACAGTTTTGGCCAGCTTACGTAGACGAAAACTGTAACACTGTGAAGCTGGAGGGAATCTTGGTCCAAATCTACAATAAAAAATATTGTTTTGCTTAGTTACAGAAGAAAGGGTAAAAGTGACAAATTGTTGGCTAAGTATTTGATTTTTTATTGGGATTTACATATAGTTCACATTCTCCCATGCTAGGGATTCAAAGTATCACAGACTAGTTCACCTTGACTTCAAATATATTGTTAATCTTTCATTTAAAAGTTTCAAGTGACAAAAACGAAATGTTACTGCCTATAATGCATGTGGAAAAAAAAAAATAAATAGCAGGTCAACTAAATTACCAAGGAAAAAAGATGTGCCACACCACGGATTTTAATGTCACTTTAATTAATGAATTTCAGGTATTTAGAACTAATGTTCCCTAACTTCATGGCTTCATTACCTATCATCATTAGGTCCAACTAGAGGGTTTACAGCTGCGAAGCCTGGCATATTGAAATGGTCCTTTATTATCATTATATCTCCAACCTCAAAATCCTGGTTAATTCCTCCTGCAGCGTTAGTCACAAACAATATCTTCACTTCCATTAACTTCATTACTCTAACTGGCAGGATAATCTGAAAAATTGTATATAATTTGACATTATGCAAAATCAACAATCATATGAATACAAATATAAAATGTATAAAGGAAACTTGTCAACTTCATTTTCACACTATCTTATTATTTTGTTTTTTTTGTTTTGTTTAAAGTTATACCAACACCACATGTATAAAATATCATATAGTATCTTTCTAGCTTTACTTGTGAAGTCAGTGTCAGATGTCTATTCATCTATTATCACTGCGGTATACCGTACCCCGGATATTGCTCGATATTATGAGGACTTTCATCCCATTTCACGACTTTGAACGGGGAACGAAGGTAAGTTCAGCGACGATATTTTCCAAACTAATGGCTATTGCATTTATCTCAACGGGTTTTATATATCTAGAGGTATTTTTGTAGCTCTAAAAGACGTAAAAGTAATTTACAGGTATTTGTAAAATTGATTAAACTTAACCCCTAAACGATCCACTGCTCACTAGAAAATAGTGATCGCGATACTGTAGAATTGTTAGAAATTATTATTTACCAATATAAAAAGAAAATTGAATCGAGCAATTTTTTTTTTTTTCACAAGTATGCTTTGTCCAAATTTCAGGCAAAAAATGTGAAAGTACAAAAAGATACAGGCCAAAAAAGAAACAAGAAAGTGTACCGAGTATTGATTTTAAGTGTACAGCCTATTGCAAAATAGCCCAACAGAATGAGCACATTTGTATGGAAAATCAATATTTTTGTCTAATTTTCACGTTTGTTTATCAAATCCATTTCATTTTGCTGATAATGTACTGTTTATATGATATTTTTTCAAATATTTCAGATTTAACAATGCATTTTCAGTGTTATTACTGTTCTTTTCCTACGGGCAAATACAGAGATTTAATTTCCCATTTGATTGAAAATCACACTATGGATGAAATAAAGTGTGTGCAGGGTCGGAAGCAGGGTCGGGAGCAGGGTAGAACCATCAAAATTGACGATAAAAATCTTTAAATACATGTCTCAAGAAACTGTGATCAAGGAGACCTATCTCTGAAAAGAAGAAGAATAAAAACTAGAACTGCCACTATCATGGCGTGAATACCCCCGCATACCACTTTGTCAGAATCCAGAATCAACAGTGGCCAATTAGAGCTCAAGGACAATTAACCTCCCTGCCAAATCTGAGGTTACTAAGCCAGTGCATTGCTAAGTTATGTATTTTACATGCTTCAAATGTGAAAATGTCAAAATCAATACACTGCGGACAGGCATTTTTAAGCAATTGAGGGGAAAAGCTTTTTTTGTCAAGGTCCCTGTGACCTTGACCTTGACCCAGTGACCTCAAAATCAATAGGGGTCACCTTATGGTCATGATCAACATCCATGCCAAATACGAAGACTGTGGGTCAAAGGAATCTTAAGTTAATGGGTGGACAAACTTATTTAGTCAAGGCCCCTGTGACCTTGACCTTTGACCCAGTGTCCTAAAAATCAATAGGGGTCACCTATTAATCCTGAAACCTCCATGCCAAATATGAAGACTGTGGGTCAAAGGAATCTTAAGTTATTGGGCAGACAAATTTTTTAAGTCAAAGTCCCTGTGACCTTGACCTTTGATCCAGTGACCTCAAAATCAATAGGGTCACTACTAATCATGACTAACCTCCATGCTAAATATGAAGACTCTAGGTCAAAGGAATCTTAAGTTATTGGGCGGACAAGCTTTTTGAAGTCAAGGCCCCTGTGACCTTGACCTTTGACCTCAAAATCAATAGGGGTCATCTACTAATCATGACTAACCTCCATGCCAAATATGAAGACTGTGGGTCAAAGGAATCTTAAGTTATTGGGCGGACCAGAAAAAACCGACGGACAGCCGGACGGCTGGACGGACAAGCTGATTCCAGTATACCCCCCTTACAACTTTGTTATGCAGGGGTATAAAAACATATTTAGATGACATTAATAATAGGTTTTTACAGGGCAAGTTTGCCTTAAGAAACATATCGACACACTTAGTTAAATATTGGCCAGAGGGCTTATGCCGTCCAAGCATGCCCGTATCATCCTAACCTTTTACTGCATGAGCATATTGCGAAAAATGGCTGTTTTCATTTTATTAAGCCTCTTGTTACAAGTTAAAACTGCTATGAACCTATAAACAAGAGGGCCATGACGGCCCTGAGGTCCCTCACCTGTATAGAGGCCCCCGGAGCGTGGCCAGTTTAAACCCCAGGGCTTTTATTTGAACAAACTTGGAAGACACCCATTAGAAGATGTTTCATGATGTTTAGTTTTTACTACACACACATAATGAAAAACAATAACCTGCCCCCACCCCCCCCCCCTCCGGCAGGGCCAATTTTAACCCAAGGGCTTTTATTTTAACAAACTTGGTAGACCCTACTAGAAGATGTTTCATGCTAAATATCTAAGCTCTAGCTTTTGGGGTTTTTAAAAGAAGATTTTTTTTTGTTTTTACTATACAAATATAGTTAAAAACAATGACACCCCAGGGGCAGGGCCAGTTTTGACCCCAGGGCTTATATTTGAACAAATTTTGTAGACACTTCCCTTGCAGAAATATATACTGGTATTCAAAAAGTCCCAGTATTTCACAGTTATTATCCTAGAAAATTCCAGAATGTTAAAACCAGTCTTGGCTATTCTAGTATGGCCTAGGAAGTATCAGTTACTGAGAACTAGGCATTTCTAATAATTTTCAAAACACTCATCAATTTCTAAGTTGTACTAGGAATTGTAATTTATTTTCTGAGATTTCTAAGACTTAAGATTTTGCAAAAAAATTCCTAGTCTTTAGGAATTACTTAGAATTTATCTTGTAGAACAAAATCCTTAACATCTTTGCTAAATTCCTTGAATCTTACATAAATTCCTAAAGACTAGGAATTCTCTTTGTTGAAAGTAAACAAGTAAATAAAGAAGAAAGGCAATAAAATTGAAAATATTTTTTTTTCTTCTTTTTTTTAAATAAAACAACATACTGATCTAGATCTATTTATTAATATTTTTCTAGGATTACTATTATTATTATTATTTAATTAAAATTAAATAATCAATTGACCTTAGTGGTCAACCTGCATTTATGACAATTTTTATCATTGGCCATTTAATTAATAGATAATAACCAAAATGTATTAGGAATATATAATCTAAAAAAGAAATAACAAATGTACAGGTACTCCAAGTAAAATCAAAGACGTATTATAAACCTTAAAAAAAATCAATAATTGACATCTGTAGTATGTAATTCTTATCAGTTTGTGTAGAGCTATTTTAGCGCTGTCAAATTGCATCCACTGATGTCATGCTTCAGTGCACAGGCTGTGTGTATAAACCACTTTATACACGGCTATATACTGCCCTGTTGACATTTTTATTGAGTGTGATTTGAACATATAGACATGTAATTAGGGGTGGATTTAAGGTGATTATTATTGGATAGTTTGAAAAAATCCCATGTGGCAAATTGACTCTTGTGCACTCTTTTTTCACGTGTCAAAATTTGTGCATTTCCAAATTTTTCACGAGTCAAAACCGAATCCCCGCGTCAATCTTAAAGTAGGTCTATATTTATGCTGACGGAAATTAACGATGATAAACTTAGTCTTTTACTATTAACCAGCGAACCTTTTACGATTATACTCGAGCAATATCCGTATATTTACGCTAACCAAGACGAGCATAATTTCATGACGTATTGGACACGTATACTGATGACGTAGCAACACAATTGTTTTGGAAACTTCTGTAGCTTTGTGTGAAATTCAAGCGCTTGTTGGGCTTAAAATAATAAATAAGTGAAATAAAATTCAACGATACAGGCTTTCTACTGGTCCCTACTTTTCCTACTTTTTCCTACTTTTTTCTTTTGATCCCTACTTTGCCCTACTTTTTTCTGAAATAGCCCTATTATCCCTACTTTTTCATTTTGAAATGAAATGAAAAAAAAAGAAGATATTTAAAAATGGTATTTCAGTTGCAATTTTCAGTTGCAATTGATGAGTAGTTCAGGTGTTGTGTGTGTGTCTCCTTGTGATGTCCATCCTTGAAGACTCATGGTCAGAGCTGCATTACTGGTACTGGTACCTCAGTATGTAAACTGCAGCGATTTGCAAGTACTGGTACTGATACTGAATTACTCTTTACAAAATTTTGCTACTACACAGGTACTGGTACTGCATTACTGTCTTAAAAAAGGTGGTACTGCTACTGCATTACAAGGCAGAATTTTTGGTTTTGATGAAAATGTCATTATTTTTACTCATAAAGTAAAGCTGTAAATTCCATGTATTATTTTATTTTTGTGAAAAAGTAAGTTATCAAATCTATGAATAATTTTGCTGCAATATTCCTTCAAATGTTAACTTAGTATTTATCATAAAAAAAGCACCAAAAGACTTAAAGTAAAATTAAATTGAGATAAACAGAGTCAATAAATCTTTACTGATAAATATCCTTATTGCAATCTTATTACTTTGTATTTACTAGTAAAAAAAAAAGCAAAAATAAACACTAATTAATTACTTCTATTCTAAATAATCCTATTTCAAGTGATATTGTTAGCACCATAAAAAGTTGTTATTTACTTTGGTATAAATTGAACAGAGGTGTTGAAAATGTGAAAGGGCAACAAAAGACTGGTGGGTTTAAAATGTAAGATTATTGCATTGTATTACAGTTGACTGGTTACTAAACAATAACATATGACAATGAATATATGTTGTAATTATTGTTTGTAAAAAGTATGTTCGTTCATTCAAAGTTGTAAAAATGTTTAATGTCAACTTTAAAGTAAATGATTTTATTTCTTTGTTGAATAATGTTTTGCAATTATTTAGAATGACACTGTGTATTTATTCAAACTTTGATGAATATATAAAAGTATTAGTAGTCTACTGGTACTTAATTACTTCCCCCCAAAAAGTACTGGTACTGCAGTACCAAGCTAAAATCAAGTACTGGTACTGCAAATCTTGGCAAGTACTGGTACTGCAAATCTTGGCAAGTACTGGTACTGGTACTTAAGTACTACACCCTTAGT